CGAATTTGAATATTTCTCAATCGTTCTGCATGATTCACGCAAAAGCTGAATCTCTTCCAACCACCCACTACACCATCGTCTTCACTTGTTTCGTTTTCCTGCAGGTTAACCTCTCCCTTCCCCCCATCCCTTCCTCCCCTCCCCTGCCACTTCCTCCGCTCCATTTCTCCCTACCTCTCTGTCCTTCCCTCTCCCTCCCCTTCCTTCCTCCCCTTCCTTCCTCCCCTGCGGTCCCCTTTCACACTTTCTCTCCCTCTTCCTCCCTCCCTCCTCCCTCCCTCCTCCCTCCCTCCCTCCCTCCCTCCCTTTCCAACTCCCTCCCTCTTCCTCTCTTCCTTCCTGCTTCTCGGTGGCCTCAAGAGATTTGATTTGTTTGCGTTCGATCTATGCTGACTGTGGCTGCAGCTGTTCAATCAGATTAATGCAAGGAAGATACACGGGGAGGTGAATGTCTTCAAAGGTGAAGAAGAGAACAATCTCAACAAGTCTCGTCAGTCAATCTTGATGTCTCCAGGCATCTTTGACAACATGTACTTCTTGATCATCACGATGATAGAACTGCTTTGCCAGTGTATGATGGTGCAGGTGACAACCAAAGAGTGATTTCATGACCTGATGTCTCACTTATGAATCAGATTCCTGCTCTCAATGCAGCAGTCGGATGTGTCAAACTCTCTCCATCCCAGTGGGGTTTTTGCTTCTTAGTGGGTGAGCAGGTCTTACTGTAAACATGCATCACAGTGAGATTTTCTTTGTGTCTGTCAGGTGCGACGTCGCTGCCGATCAATGCGCTTCTATCAATGGTTTGGAGATGTTTGGCAATATATGCTGATGATGATGATGATGATGATGATGATGATGATGATGATGATGATGATGACAAGATGCCGACAACGACAACGATGATGATTGTGATGATGATGATGATGATGAGCACTTTTGACAGATTCCTGCCGGAAGCTGCTGCGGAAGAAAAGGAAGCCATTCTTGTGAGTTTTCATCAACGCTGAATTCTCCAACACATGTTGCTCGTTTCTTAGAATCTCTCTTCACACTACCTGCTATCTCATTCATTCAGCTCACTGTGGTTTCTACAGCTTCTGTCGACAACGATGTTGAACAGGTCTGCCTTCTATTTGTTGTCATCATCTTTACATGTCGAACAGGGGGTACCTCTTCTTCCTCTCTCTTCTTGAGATTCGTTTATCAGCACCCGATCGATTCTTTGCAAACAATTTATTTTAAGACAGTAAAAGTTGCAAATCCCTCGGGAAACTGGACAAAATAAACAGGGTGTATCATTGCTGCAATCTGACTGACTGACTGACTGACTGACTGACTGACTGACTGACTGACTGACTGACTGACTGACTGACTGACTGACTGACTGACTGACTGACTGACTGACTGGCTGGCTGGCTGGCTGGCTGGCTGGCTGGCTGGCTGACTGACTGACTGACTGACTGACTGACTGACATTCATGTTTCTCCACGAGAGCTCATAACTTCTCCGATCAAGAAGTGTTGGATCGCATGCTGCATCCTGATGTCTTTGCGAACAAGCTCCTCCTCCACCTGATACGCAAACGACCAGACCCCCGTGTTCTTGACAAGCTTCCCTGCATCGACGTTCTGCAAATTCGTCAACTCGCGCTCCTCCTCCTCCTCCTCCTCCTCCTCCTCCTCCTTCCCCATTCACTTCAACTTCCCCGCCCTACCGAAACCTTTCTCTCCCTCCCTCCCTCCCTCCCTCCCTCCCTCCCCGCTTGCTTTACCTTCCCCTGCTTCTTTTCCTCCTGGTGCTCCTTGAGCGCGATATCCATCACCACCTGCTCCTCGTCACTGGTCAAGACTATCTCGCTCCTCCTTCACCTCTGCAACTTTGTGCTCATCCCACTTGTCCAGGTGAAGTTCAACATGCCCTGAACGAGTGTCATCAGCATCAGCGTGCGAAGAAAGATAGTTGATGGTTCACCACCTTCAGGTTGTAGAGGGTTCCACACGTTGAGGATACCTATCCTTGAGGAGATCTCGATGCAGTCTTGCAGCGTTAGCTGGTAAAATCTCAAGTTAGGTCGTTCAATTCATTACGTTTCAGTGTGTTTCACAATCAAACTAGCTTGCTCCACATGCATCGACAAAGTTGGTTCACATTAATCTCAAGTATGCGTGCTCAACAAAAATCTCTTGTCACTTGGTTCAACACATCATCTTTAGCAAACCTATTCAAGTTTGCAAACAGGCCATTGACTGAACAACACGCCAACGTGTCAAACAGATTCCTTACCTTACGGCACATGCAGCCCCACAGGTTGTCAAGGTCGATGATCGCAGGAAAAGCTCTCTGCATGATCTCAGCTCTAGCCTGCGCCTGTTTGACACGTCAAGCACTTTGACAGCTGTCAAAGGCTCGAGCTGACCTGCAGCTGGAGTTTCTGCAGGAAGAAGTTAACAAGAGGAGAGGAGGGGAGACAGAACAGACCTGACTCGCAGTCTCGTCGAGCATCTCGTCCTCCTCCTCCATCAGCTCGCTCATGCTGGTATAGGTCGACATGAGAGGAAGCTGTCTGCCCTGCCCATCTCCATCAGACCTGCCTCCTCCTCCTCCCCCTCCTCCCCCTCCTGCTCCTGCTCCTGCTCCCCCTCCTCCTCCCCTCCCCCTTCCCCTTCCCCTCCTCCTCCTCCTCGAACTCCATCATCATCATCATCATCATCATCATCATCATCATCGCCATCACCATCATCGCCATCACCATCATCGCCATCATCGCCATCATCGCCATCATCGCCATCATCATCATCATCATCATCATCATCATCATCATCATCATCATCATCATCATCATCATCATCATCATCATCATCATCGCCATCATCATCATCATCATTGCTACTCAGCTTGTCGTATCTGATCTTCTCACCTGCACGCACAAGCACAGCTCGACCGCTTGATCAGCAGAAAGTTTGAACATGAGCACCTGCACATCATGTAAGGTGCAAATCTTCAGGTCTGTTCTGTTGTTCTCTACGCATGTAAATCAAGTTTGTAACATGTTCCCTTGTGCATCGAGTTTGCTCATCGAGTATTTTCATCGAGTAATTTCATCAACTATGTTCGTCAGCTTTGTTCATCTACCTTTTGCAAGATTGGCCTTAAAGCCGAAGTGGCGAACAAGAACTCGAGCTTGATTTCTCTTCTCTGAATCACTCCCATGTTAAGATGAGAAGGAAGAAATTCCTCATATACCTCCAGCAGCTCTTCGAAGAAATATCTGAACTCCGCACAGTGAATCTCAAAATCCTGTTCTTGTCATGAGAATGTATGTTCATAACCTGACACAACATGTATCAACACCTGTTGTTTCATCGCCTTTGACCCCAACTTTGGTCTTCTAGTTGTGACAACATCAAACTCAAGAATTCCTTCGAAAGGAATGTTCCAATCTTACAACCAGCAAGATGAGAAGAAGTTGTAAGATCAAGAGTGAAATGTTACCGCTTTTGTAGCTGATGTGCTTTCCTTGATACCTTACGTTCCTCCACAACTCGTAATCTCCATGCTCGCTAAGGGAACTTGAGAAAACAAGAGCGAGACCATGGGAGAGGAAATAGAAATAAAAAACAAAGAGCAGCAGAGAGAATACAAGAAGAAGAGAGGGAGAAGAGAACAGAGTATGAGGAAAGAAGAGAAGAAGAGAAGAAGAGAAGAAGAGAAGAAGAGAAGAAGGTGAAGAAAGAGGGGAGGAGAGAAGAGGGGAGGAGATAGGAAGGAAGCAAGTTTGCTTATGAGATCAACAACCTTGTGTCTGGTTTTGCTTCTGACTTTCTCGTTTCTCTTTCATACGCACAGAGGTCTTGCAACCTGCAATGAAGAGATGAGAGAATCTTCATGTGGTTCAGATAGGTCAGCGTACCTCTTACATAATGTCCGTTCAAGATGGTTTGATAGATTCAACTTCCACCTCCTCATCGGCCGCTACTTGTCCAGTCAGTTTGTGGATAGTCGGGGGATCATCGTAACTTCACCTTGGGGTTGTACCAGAAAAGTTCACCGAGCAAAGATTGCATTCGAGAGATCTGAGAACGAAAGTAGACAAGTTGAGAACCATAAGTTGAGGTCAATACAAGCATACTTCTCTTGTTGAGAAATTTTGGAGGAGAATGGAGATGGAAGATGTGTCCTTTATGAAAGGAAATGCCTGCACGACAAGTAAGATAGCAGTGAACGTTGTTGTTCATGTTGTACATGAACGACAATGTCTAGGTGATCTGATCGTGAATCGAATTGTTTCGTCATCGTTAAAACCTGCAAAATGTTAAAAACTCATATCAAGATAGAGGAGAGAAAAGGAGAGGAGAAGACAGGACAGGACAAGACAGGACAAGACAGGACAGGACAGGGAGGATAGGAAAAGAAAGGGGAGGAAGGGACAGGACATGTAGAATGAAACAAGATGTTCTACCTCATTCACAGAGAACAGTCGCGTTCCATCAATCATCCCTGACAGCATCAACTTCAACTTTTGGCTCTGATCAATCCGTCAGATAGACAAGAAAACCAAAGAGGAAAAGGATCACAGCAGAAGTCAACCAGGGAACCACCGAGTTCGAGTATGTTGACTTGTCGTTGTCGTCTTCGGCATCCTTGAAGTGCTTGTACCTCGGACTTGATGTCTTGGAAGTAACATCCCACACTCCGCTCCTCCACCTCCCGGCATCATCGTCACACCCCAAGGAATGCAAGAACATCTGCAATACCATCAGCATGCGAATTGAGCTTTTGATTTCTCACCTGCTCCATCTCTACCATCGGACGGTCTGCAATGCCCATCATGTTGATTGAAGGTATCCTGAACTCACACTGCAAGTATTCGATCACATGTCAGAAACAAGTTGTAAAGATTCAGAAGACCTGGAATATCCCGTTCATGGGAAAGATGAAAGGGTCGTCATCGTAAGAAGGCCATGGGATGTTTCTCCTGGAAAGGAAAGAATTTGAAGAGTTCAGAACAAATACAATCAGATGGTGGTGGTGGTGGTGGTGCTGATCATCATCATCATCATATCATCATCATATCATCATCATCATCATCATCATCATCATCATCATCATCATCATCATCATCATCATCATCATCATCATCATCATCATCATCATCATCATCATCATCATCATCTCATCATCATCATATTCATCATCTCATCATCATCATATTCATCATCATCATCATGGTGGTGGTGGTGGTGATGATGATGATGATCATCATCATCATCATCATCATCATCATGAAACAGTTTTCCTCGATTACCAAGGATTGATGGTCCAGGGGTCTTGTTCGGCTCTTTGTGACGTCTGTTTGATGTAAGACAAGTACAAGAGATCTTTCTTTGTTCACCTTTGATGCAAGCCTTCGCAATTTGATAAGAACAGTCGAAGGCTGTAAGAAATATAAGGTTTCACGTTACATACAGCAGCTTTCTTGTCTTTCGCAATTCTAAGATCTCTCGCAAAGATTCCCGTGTTGAGATTCTATCGTTGAGAGTTTTTGCGGAACAAGTAGAAGATCTTTTCTTACCTCAACTTTCAACTGGTCTGACAACAGTCTTGCTAGCTCCACTAGCTCTACGGCAATGGCTAGCTCCTGGAGTGAAGGAGAAGAGTCAGAGGAAGGGAGGGAAGAGGGATGTAGAGGCAAGAGACAACATGAACAAGAAGAGACAGGAGTAGTCAAGCTGTCTAATTGTCTCCTTACCGTTGGATTTGACAGGTCAAGAGTATATGACCCTTCAGGCAAGTTCTTCACTATCTTTGAGATGTACTTGTTCACTTCTTGATCTTTCGATCCGTTGGGAATGACTTCTTCCACACTAGAAACACTAATGTCACACTAGAAACACCAATGTCACACTAGAAACACTAATGTCACACTAGAAACACCAATCTCATCATCGTCACAATTCCCATTCTCGTTGTCCTCTTGTCAACAACGGCACGACCATCGATACATCGTCATCGTCATCGTCATCGTCATCGTTATCATCATCGTTATCATCATCGTCATCTCCATCTTCATCTCCATCTCTATCATCGCCTTTGTCATACTTGCATCCAACTTTTGATATTCTCAGTCCCCTCCACTGTTGCTTCTGGTCTGCGAAAGAATGAGAATTCCTTCTCTTTTCCAGTCGCAGGTCACAACCGACGATTAGTTCCCCACCATCACCAGCGCTGGTTGAAGAGTGCGTGAGAGACAGGAGCGAAGGAGACAAACCCTCACTGGTCAACTTGTAGGTATGATCTTGAAGCAAGAGAAGCTCTCGTTAGAGCACGAGCACCTATGCATAAGATGACATGCTATGAAAGAACGACGACTTGTAACCTAAGATGCCGATTGGGTTCCCGTTGACATTGAGCTTTTGAAGTTTCTGTTCGGATTGTCAATCAGGTAAGGAGAATAAGATGAGGGAAGGTGTATGAGACAAAGGAATGTAATGTCTTGACCGTGTTGCCGATGACTGACGACGAGAACAGTATACACCCGACCTGACAACAGCATGTCGTCGGTGAGACTATTGTCAACAACAAGTGAAACGATGACAACCGAGGTTGTCTTTGTATTGGCAAGTCTTAGCTCTTTCAGAGCGATGTCTCCATTGCATTTGATCGCCTAGTTTGACAGGTCAGACAGAACAACGTCAAAGAGAACATTGTGGACCTCAGCGATGTTCATAAGACCCGCATCTCGCCATGGATTACAACTGAACTCAGCAGTCAGCTGAGAGCGGAGAAGAGGAATAGAGGACGAGGACGATCACGAGGACGAGGACGAGGACGAGGACGAGGACAAGGACGAGGACAAGGACAAGGACAAGGACAAGGACAAGAACGAGGACGAGGACAAGGACATTGAACAAACCTCAGATTAAGGTACGTCAAGTTTCGATTGTTCTGCAAACACCCAGCAAGCGATTTGCCTCCTACGACAATCCGAGAACAAAACTCAGGGGAGAAACATTCTAAGAGCTCAACAGAACAAAACACAACACAAATTAGTTGTCTTGTTTTCCCTACCTTCACTGTTCCCATGGATATTATTCCAGCTCAGATCCTGTCAACTCTCGTTTCACTTCGTCTCATGTTATCGCATCGATCCCTCACCAAACTTCTCAACCCGCACGCTTTCCCTAGCGAGTATGCCATGTTCAACGCACCCCTGCCACTTCTCGTCAGATCGCTTGGTGATATTGACTTGACATATTTGACTGACATGTTTCCGATCTTGTTCTGGGAGAGGTCAAGGTGGAGGAGGTTTTGAAGCTGCTTCAACACTGCGAGCAAACTTCATTTCTCTCTCACTTGTCGGTTCATGACATGTTGTGTACCGCCAGAGAAATGCTTCGATCCCGTGTCTGAGATGTCGCAATTGGAGAGGACGAGCCTGAAATTGCGGGAATGTCGTCAACTCCATCATAACAGATGCTTGTCCTCAACAACATGTCTCTGCTGTATCAATATCGTCTCTGCCTCTCTCTATTTGCCATCAACAAGAACAAGAACAACGAAATGATCACCACCACCATCACTATTGCCACCATCATAACAAGAATCATCATCATCACAATCATATCCCATCATCGCAATCTTGGTGGTGATCATCAATATCACTGTTGGCTACACAGCACACAACAAGGAACAACCTTGTAATTGTCTTCGAGCTTGAGCTTAAAATGAGCTCTTCCGTGAACGTCTGTTGCAAACAAAAGAAATCAGAATCATTGAGTTATGACCAGTTTGTCTCATATCCATTGAAACAGATTTGTCGAAATCATCATCATCACTAATCATCGTCATTGCATATCAATGTATCGTCATCGTCATCGTCATCGTCATCGTCATCGTCATCGTCATCGTCATCGTCATCGTCATCGTCTCGTCATCGTCATCAAACTTGAAACATCAACATTGTTTTCTTTACTCCAATCTGAGATCCGATCATGTTTTGGCTCAGATCAAAGGTCGAGATTGTGCAATCTTCGCTGTTGGAAACATTTTCACGAACAAGGAGAACAACAAATAAAAGACGACCATCGCAGCAGCTCCACCATCTCCACCATGATCGAGTCTCCTCTCTGCAATGCACAACATGTAAGAACTTCGACACAGGCAAGAAAACTTCAAACATTGCAATCAAGACTGTTTGACGCGAGGTCAAGATTCAACATCTTCCCCTGTCGGTGTCATCTCAATCCAACCAGCAAGAGACAGCACACACTCTACCTTGCAGTTTCCCTTCTTCATCCATCTCAAGAACGCAGAGATCTGCTGACAAACTCAACCAGGGCAGGTCAAGATGTGAAGATGTGAAGATGTGAAGATGTGAAGATGTGAAATGTGAAGATGTGAAGATGTGAAGATGTCAACACTGGGTTCATTACTCACCGCCGTGTTTCCTATCCCGAAGTTGCGGAGGTTGACAATCATCTCTTGACTTGTTGGCCCCTGCAGTCACGCTGAGAGTTTGTACTCCACTCATCGTCCTGCTCACGCGCGGTGACTTCTGATCCTTCTCACTGTTTTCTGCATCTTCATCTTGAATCAGCTGAACATCTCCAATCGATCTCAGCACACACCGATCATGCACATGCGTCTCAATCCTCAACACAGCAATGATAACATGTCTTATCATTCTAAACACAGCAATGATAACATTTCTCATTATTCCAAACACAGCAATGATAACATGTCTTATCATTCTAAACACAGCAATGATAACATGTCTCATTATTCCAAACACAGCAATGATAACATGTCTTATCATTCCAAACACACCACCATCACCTTTTGCCAGCGATGACACAAGAGGCAAGATCTTCAATCTCTCACACTCTTGCAGATAGTCATTCTTATATTGAGAACCCCTCGACTGTTTGCTGGGACAATCTCCGTCATGTCGAGTCGAGTACATCACTCCACCTGCTCTACGTACATCGAACGAGACTCAAGAAAGCGAAGCTCCGATGAGATGGTGGTAGAATTTCTCTGAGAGGGGATAGAGGACTTGTTCGATGCCGAGCTCCTCTACAAGATAATGAGAAAGAGAGAAGGAGAGAAGGGGATAACGATCAGGGCGAGGAAAGAAAACATGCGCAAGAAACTCACACTAGTGCCAAGTGAGATGTAATCTCTTCTCGACGATGACATGTCTCGTTGGCTCATCTGAGCATTCATAACATGCACGGACGACAAGTCAAGGTGTAAATCCGTCGCAACTTGACCGGCGATCATCCTGTCTCCTTGCTCAACGGAATTCTTTCCTCCTCCTCCTCCTCCTTCCTCTCCCTTCTCCTCCCGCAATCGCTTCATCTCGTCGTATTCTCGTTGAGCTCGTTCTACCCTCAGCTCGGCGTCGGCTGCAGGCCATTCAGACACGCGAGTTCGCGGTGTATTGCCATGTCTGCAAGAAGCTTGTCAGAGCAGCAGCAGCAGCAGCAGCAGCAGCAGCAGGTGGTGGTGGTGGTAGTGGTGGTGGTACAGAAGGAGGAGGTGGTAGTGGTGGTGGTACAGAAGGAGGAGGTGGTAGTGGTGGTGGTACAGAAGGAGGAGGTGGAGGAGCAGGAGACACCTCAGGATGCCGACACTTGGCAGCTGCACTCTTGTCTCGCCTTCCTGCCGATACATGTCTTCCTGTGATATGTCGGAGTGAAGCGACACGCTGCTGCTCCATCGAGGTCAGCACAGCAGCACAGGACAGGAAACGAGGGAGGGAGGGAGGGAGGGAGGGAGGGAGGGAGGGAGGGAGGGAGGGAGGTAGGGAAGGAGGGAGGGATGGAGGGAAGGAGGGAGGGAGAAACGGCAAACAAGGAGGAAGGGAAGGACTTTCACAACTTAGCTGCAAATCACCTTGAAATGGTGGGGAGAGAATGGCCTGCTGGTGCGGCTGCACTCCAGATCTTCTCCTTCCACTTGTCCCTCCAGCCATCGGGGTCGCTCTCTTGGGCTCCATCGTTGGTCCTCTCGTACCAGACAGGCTTCCTCGCATGCCATGGGAGGAGCCTGGAGCAAGGAGGTCTCAACAACTGGGAGCAGTAGACGGGAGGGAACTTACTCGTGCGATGTACGTGAAGATCCTTTCACCTCGCTCTCTCTCCTTCCAGACTTTTTGGGCATGAAGGCAGGCAGGTCGATACCCTCCTGTCTTACCGCATCCTTCTCGTCTACTCTCCTCCTCCCCTCGTCTCTCAGTCTTGTTGCTGCCTGCCGTTGGCCAAGCTGTCAAGTTTGTCAAAAATCAAGCGGCTGAGGCGGATCCGCCATCATCGGACCGCGGCCGGGGGCCCGGGGCCCGGGGCCCGGGCGGTCGCCCGGCCCATCGGACCGGGTGGACTGATGCTCGGGGCTATTGATCTGACTGGCCCGGCTGGCACTGCCGGGCATGCGATCCCCCCCGAGTTTCTGAAGTAGCACAAACAAGAGAATGTTACCAGAGTTCCAAGTCAAGATACTAGTACATCCCGGAGTCCGAGTCGAGTCCGACATGATGAGGCCGGGCCGTCTGCCGCAGTGCGTCAAGTTCACAGTTATGTTGACGGTGGGCAATAACCGTTCAAGGATTGTCTATTCTGAAGAAAATTTTCATGCAGGGCTATTAGAAGCCTCAGGAACTTCGCTGGATGCCGCTCAGGCCGGCGCGGTTGGCGACGGCCCCCGGCCCCGGCGTTACTTGCCACTCTTGAACTCGGCGCTATCTGACTGACCGCATGTACACCTGCATGTACACAGCCTCAGGCTTTCCTCCGGCAGGCCCGGCCCCCCGGGCCCCGCGGCCCGGCCAGGCCGGAACGGTGACTCCGCAGGCTCGGCCCGGCCGGCGGGCCGACAGGAGTGAGCCTGCCTCGGATTCTGGCCTCGGAACCTCGACTCGGAGTCGTTGTTTGTGCTGCCTTTCGAAAAAGGTCCATATATTATTCTGGGGCGGAGTTTTACTATCTATGTCTCCTACCTTGAGAGTACCCGCTACTGCTATTTGAGTAAAACCAATAAGCCTCCTGATCTGATCTACAGGAGGAAGGGAAGGTGGAGGAAGAGGATGAGGCGGTAGCGGTGACGGAGGAAGCAGAGGAGGAGGAGGAGGAGGAGGAGGAGGAGGAGGAGGAGGTGATGGTGGTGGTGGTGATGATGATGATGACAACGACGACGACGACGACGGGAGGCACAGAGAGGCACGTGGGGAGAGAAGAAGCATCGAAGTCAGGTCTCGAAGTTTGATATGACCACAATAATGATAGCGGAAGAGAAGAACGACAAGCCTCGCAGACAGAGACTGAAAGCTTTGGTCTGCTTTCATTGTCCTCTTTAGTTTTTTCGAAAAGCAAGAGAATGTGTTTGGTAGGCTAACCATACAACCATCGCAACCATGAAGGAGCTGGTTGGATTGAGCCTTAGCCTATACTTATGGCTAGTGTGTCAAGCATGCGCAGTAATCAACACGAATAAACATAGCAGCGCAAGAAACTTTGTGTCCTCCAAGACACCACAGAGAGCAGCTGGCTACATACGACCTGTTGGCAAACTGTTGATTTCAGGCAACAAGACGGGCGTTGGGACAAGAGACCTTCTGGAGTTCTTCGGTAGGTTTGGTACAGTGTTGGACGCCTACGTGCTGAACAATCCCTTCTCGCGATCCAAATGGATCGGCTCGGTGACATTCAAGCACGAGTCAACAGCACATGACATCTCCGACAAGGTCTCAAGGTTTGGAAGCCAGATGGAGATAAAGGGATGCCCGATCATGATCAACCTTTGGGGAGAGGAGGAGCAGGAGGAGAGGAGAATAGAGCATTCGCTGGCCTCCGACCAGTACAAAGAGCAACGGCAGAAGATGGAGGATGAAGCCGAAGACGTCGAGTTCAAGTTTCGGAACCGCTGGACAGACCTGCAGTTGGTCAAAGTTGGAGCAATGGATCCAAAACAATTCTGGAGGAGGCACGGGGGGGATGACGATGAGAACGAGTCCTGGGAGAGGAGGCTGATATTCAGGCAGACAAATCTCCCAAACTTCCTGCGAGGATCGAACTTCTCGATCGATGCGGTGAAGAACACTTCCTCTTTGCTCGACATGTATCTGAACCCAGCGATGGGAATGTCCAAAGTGTGCATGAACGGTTGCAACTTGGTTAAAATATGGAGGGAGAGATTGTCGGCGGCGGCGGCGGCGGCTCATTTCTTCAACCCTTTCAACCCTGAGGTTGTTCGGAGCATGGCGCAAGAGAAGCTGGGAAAAGGAAGGCTGCCGGAGGGGATTGAGATCGAACAGAACGAGGGGTTCACCAAGTTTGCTACGGCAGCGAGCGAAAGGAATGAAACGTCGCACCGCAAGACCAGGACCGATCTCCTGCCCATTCAAATGATGAAGTCCAAGATCTTGAACCTCCTGCGAGGTAACAACATCCTTGTGGTAGTGGGAGAGACCGGATGTGGCAAGAGTACCCAACTGCCCAAGTACCTCCTGCGCATCCTTGGAACGGGGAGAGGCCGAATTGCATGCACGCAGCCCCGCAGAGTCGCAACTGTGTCTCTCGCCAAACGAGTCTCGGACGAGCTACATCAAGTGATACTCATGAAGTTCAGAGCTCGCTGGCGCTGACGTGCTGATGTAGAGGGTCGGGCAGCTCGTCGGCTACTCCATCAGGTTTGAAGAGGTCGTCAGCGATTGGACCAGGATCAAGTTCATGACGGATGGGATACTCATCAGGGAGGTCATCGGTGACCCCTGGCTCGAGCAGGAAAGACCGCCCCTTGCTAGAAGGATAACGTCCCAACTCTTCCATCCCTCCTTTTCATCGATTCATTCGCGATTTCTTGTCTCCTCCTCCTCCTCCTCCTCCTCCTCCTCCTCCTCCTCCTCCTCCTCCTCTTCCTCCTCCTCCTCCTCCTCTTCCTCCTCCTCCTATCTGATTCATTTTCCTGTCCATGTCTCTTTGCTTGCATCCATCTCCCTGTGCACCTCGCCTGTGCGGTCTGTGCCTTCGCCTTGAAACTTGTTCTTCTCCCTTGCTGTGCTGTGTTGACTGCGATCACAGTATTCTGCTGTGATCATGGACGAGGCGCACGAGCGGAGTATGCATACAGACATCCTCTTTGGTGTCTTGCGCAAGGTTGCGACGAGGAGGAAAGATCTCAAGGTGATTTGTCTTCGTTCTTTCCCTCTGCACGTAATGCTCTCTGTTGTACTTGCCTTCTACTAGATCATTGTGACTTCTGCCACCATGGACGCTCAAAAATTCTCTTCTTACTTCTGGAACGCTCCGATCATCGAGGTGCCGGGGAAAACTTTCCCGGTCGAAATCGACTACACAGCATGTCTGGTGGAGGACTATGTCGAGAGGGTGAGACCAGAGGTACTGCGGAGCTGCTGGACGTCTGATGGAGATGGTGCAGGCGATCTCCTCTGTGACCGACATCCATCTAGGAGAGTCGGAGGGGGACATCCTGGTGTTCATGCCGGGACAGGAGGAGGCAAGTTGTAACGGGGTCAGAGAGTCTTGGCTCACCTCCCCTGCTGGCCGCAGGTTGAGAGCACGAAGTTCTGGCTGGAGAACAGAATCGACTACCTCAACAGCACCGGAATTGACGTTCCTCCCCTTGAGATCATCCCCGTCTATGGCACCTTGCCAGCTGAGCTGCAGCTGAAGATGTTCAAATCAGGTTGCCCGAGGAGAGACGAGGATGTGGGGCTGAAGAGAGTCTGTCAGACCAGGAAGGGAGGAGGAGAGTGATCATAGCAACCAACATCGCAGAAACTTCTCTCACTGTCGACGGCATCGTGTTTGTGATTGATTGTGGATACTCCAAGATAAAGTGCTTCGACCCAACCCTGGGTGAGTGATGATGAGCTAGCGAAAGATTTTGTTGGTAGAAAAGAGGAGGAATCTGACTTGACAGGCCAGGTATCGACGCCCTGCTAGTCGTTCCTGAGAGCAGGGCGAACGCGAAGCAGGTCGATCGCAAGTTTCGTCTGCTCATGTGAGGGTCGTGAAGTCACTTGCAGAGAGCTGGAAGAGCAGGGAGGACGAGACCAGGAAAGTGCTTCAGACTGTTCACCGAAGAGGTCAGGAGCCGTCAGCCGCGCCAGCTCGCTGACTTGGCCGACGCAGTCGCTGAAGTTGGAGATGCTGGAGGCTCCAGTGCCGGAGATCCTGAGGAGCAACCTGGGCAACGTAATTCTCCTCCTCAAGTCGATGAACATCGGCAACCTGCTGCAATTTGACCTGATCGACAACCCGCCCAAGGAAAACATCTTGAATGCCATGTCTCTGCGCCTCCTCTTACATCCCCCTTCCTCTTACCCTCTGCGGTGCCCAGGTATCAACTTTGGATCCTCGGGGCCCTGAACACCGAGGGCAGCCTCACGTACCTGGGTAGGAGGAGGAGCAACGGGCGGGTCGGGAGGGGGAGGATGAGAGGAGGTGACAGTGGATGGAGCAGGTCAAGAGATGATTCGATTTCCTGTGGAACCCGCCCTCTCCAAACTCGTTTGCGCCTCCAGAGACCTGGGGTTGTCTCCTGCCCTGTGTAAGCTGGGAGCTGAGAAAGTTTCAAGGTGCCAGTGGGAGTCCGTGGCTCTCGTCTCCCTCCTCTCTGTGGGGGGCCTGCAACAGATCATGTTCTTCCCCGCTGACAGAAAGGTTTGCTCCCCTTCCTACCGATCCGTCTGAGAGGGCCGCAGGAGGACTATCAGACTGCCCACTCAAAGTTCTTCCTCTTCGACAGCGATCATCTCACCCTTCTCCACATCTTCAACTCGTCAGTCCCAACTTCACTCCTCCCTAACAGATGGTGATGGTGCATGCAGGTGGAAACAGGCTGGAAAGAGCAAGTCCTGGTCGTTCTTCCATTACCTGCAACACAGGAACCTGCACAAGGTACGGCCGGACCCCGCCAGCACTAGCAAGTGAGAGTCTGAGCAGGCAGCCAATATCGAGAATCAGCTGCGCACAATCTGCCAGAGGGTGGCCATGGGGAAACCACCAGGGAGGAGCGAGGACGTCCAGGGAGTAAGACAAAGACGTTCACCTCCTCCTCCTCCTGACCTCCTCCCAGTCGATCAAGAAGGCTCTCTGCAGTGCTTTCCCTCTCAACTTTGCTCGGTATGAGTTTGATCGCCACGCCGCCCCTTCACGTTTCATAGCATGAAGGTCATGGACCCGTCCATGGAAGAGATCGAGTCGAGCAACAAGCATGCAGACCATCCTTTCTTCAGGTCCTTGCACTCCTCTATTGTTTCCCTACCCCCCTCCTTCTCCTCCTCCTCTTTCTCAGTATTCTTTCGACAGGATGAAAGCGGACAGGAGCGATCCCGTGCTCGATAGCGGCAGGAGGAAAGGGAATCGTTTCGTTTGCTCCTTTCAGTGTGTGACCTCCGGCCTCCTCGCATACATACATCCGCAGGTAACGCCCTCCCTGCTTCCGTCTCGTCACCTTACAGCGACTCTCAGAGCGGGCTGCAAGGGGTTGGGTTCTCCTTGCAGTATGTCATCTACAACGACATCATCTTCACCTCCCGGCCTTACATGAACCTTGTTACTTCGGTTAGTGACTTTTCTCCGATTCTTTCCCGTCATGTGCTTGCAGATCGACCCCAAGTGGATCATGGAGATGAACCCGAACCTCTACGCCCTCCACAACGTGAACAAGTGGGAGGAGGAGCAGGAAGCGCAGGACAGAGTTCGCAAGCCAGGGCACGACGAGAACGAACAATCCGAGGGGAAGAAGGCCAAGGGCCCGATCATCTGCCCTGCTGCACCTGCGAGGCGGTCGAGGCTCACGAGGGTGCAAGCAGTGTTTCACCAGCTGACAACCAAGGAGAGGAGATAACGGGGCCGGCATCGCGAAGAGAAAGTACTGAGTTTACTTGATCCAGCATGCGGTGAGAGCGCTGCGCTTATCGGGTGTACATGGCGATGATGTTGTTCATCTTGTCAGCTCCCTGGCGCGCCTTCTCAGCGGAGAAAGGATCGTAGAAGCCAGCCTCGTCGAGGGACGCGATCTTGGCCTGCAGCAGCCACGTCAGTGAAGCCCTCCACCCTCGCGCGAGACCCACCGCCTGCTTGGAGGAGATGGGAGCAGAAGCAAGAATAGTGGTGAAGCACTGTGCGAACATCTGCAGCAAGCAGGTCAAGACGAGCAGATTAGGGGCAGAAAGGAATATTGCTCAGGTATTTGCTGGTGACAGATCGAAACAAACTAACAGAACTCAACAAATGACCAGAATATTTCTCTGCAATGAAGCGACATTTCTAACTCATCCAAACCATCTCTTCCAATGAATGTAATGAAGTTGAACGAATACAGTGTAAAGTTCCTTTCACAACTCTTTTCCCCATCCCGTAAGTGTTATCACGTTCACTCACACAATCACATTCACTTTCTCCTGTCAAGAAAGGAGACAACCTTTGTTTTGTTCATTTGTATACTTCTGTGATCTGATCGTGTACCACCGAAATTCTCTCCCTCTGTTCCTCTCCTTTTGCACACTGCTTCTACTTCCATTGTCATCCCGAGCTTTCTCTCTGTCTCCATCTCCCTTCCTTCTCGCCCTCATATATATCACGTCGCTTTCCACACGCCCTGCATTATCCCCATCTCTCTCACTCTGTTTCTCATCCTCCTCACCCACACCTTGTCTCCTCGTCCTGCCAACCTGCCTGCCTGCCTGCCTGCGCATCTCTATCTCCTCCCGTCCCTTTCTGAGCACTCTCTATCTCACTGCTATGAGCTCTTTCTCTTTCTCACTTTCTGTCTACCCGCTACCTCCCTCTATCTTCTATCTATCTCTCTCCCTCTATCTCTCTCCCTCTATCTCTCTCCCTTCCATCTCTCTTCCATCTCTCTTCCATCTCTCTATCTCCCTTCCATCTCTCTTTCTCTCCCACCCCTTCTGAGCTCTCCCTCCATCTGCTATCAACTTCCGATGACGTCGCTTCGACATGGCCTTTCGAAATAGAGCCCCATCCCCACTCATACCAACAAAGTTACATCCTCTCCTCCACATCCCCACTCATACCACCGTCCACTGAAACGGGGGCCTGGAATGGGCTGGTTCTGGACTTCACGATGACACATCCCTACAACAGCAGCGGCAGCCCCGTCGGACTTTCTGCTCTCTCCGGCCCCGCCCAACAGAAGATTTCCGATCATCGTGCAAGTTATGGCACCCATCACCCGCCGAAGGCCTTTCTTCCCTTCTGAAGTTCACTGCAGGTACGGATGGTCTTCTTCATGCTGACGCTTTGCGGTTTCTCTGGTACCTGGCGGATCACCATGGAGCTACGCTGACAGCGGAGTGGGATGGATGCGCTCAGGAGGCGGTGTATGGGGACCCTGGCTTTCATCGCAAGTTTGCGTGCTCGCCCGGTGTTTCGGCACTGTATCGCTCTCGCATGGGTCTTGCCGTCCTCCTCGCAGGGGCCTTGCGCTACTGCTCTTTGTCCTGATCCTTGTTCCCCTGCTTGTCGTGCATGCCGTCGCTTACGTGGTTGGAGTGCCGGTTTTCGCTGCCTCCTTCGTTTCCTAGTATTTTATTGAGGCGGGTTTGTTGGCTCTATCCTCCCCCTCCTTTGTTTGCTCCGGTTTGTCCTTCTTTTTCAGTCAATAAAGAGAAACGGGTTGAACCCAGCGCCGGGCCCTGGGGCCGTGCCGGCAGCGGCAGCCGGGGTCGGGCACTGCAGCCGGACCCGGGGTCGGGCCCGGGCACTGCAGCCCGCCCCGGGGCCCAGTGGCATCGGGCGGCCACGGGCAATCATTGAATCGATCTGAATCTAGGCTGAGCTGTTCATCACCTGGCTCAGAAGCCCCGATCACACTGCCGTTACTGAGACAGTGCTTAGAAACAAAGAGAGAGCAAAAGGAATTGCCTTATACAGCGTGCACATGGCGTGCTTGATCTCCAGCGTCATCTTCTGGAAAGAGGCTCAACATCTTTGGGCCATCATGGTGCCACACTGAAAGAATAATCTTTGCTATACAGAGGAGTATGTGTTGACATAGGCCCAAGATCACCGAGAACTGCCGCGCGTGCATGACGGTCGGACTGCTTTGGCCGCATGCTATCGAAGGTTCTTTTTCATGTTGGCTAAACGTCTCAGCGCGTTTGTGTCCTTCCTCGGACATGGCCTTGTGGTTGAAACAGCACTGTGACAAACTTGGGACTAAGCCCTGGGGAACTTGAATTTACTGAAGAGATTGTCAAGATGTGGAAACAAGTATCGGAGAGCATGAACAAGCTACGCGTTTGACTCGATCGTATCCATGAGAACATCTCCTGCGTCCGGGGACAGGGACAGAACGAACAGCGCGAGCGATAAAGCACAGGCGATTGCAATGAAGGCCCAGCCCTCCCTGAGTGCTCCTGTGAGCCTCGAGCAAGCGCAAGAGGAGCTCTCACCAGACTGTGATGATGGTGACGATCACGAAGGCTGCAGATAGACCGACGAGCTTTGAGATGCCGTTGCCGATGGCCATGCCTTGGTTTCTGTGGGAGGTAGGGAGGATGGAGGGAGCATACACGTACATCAGCTGGTAAGAGGCCTTCAGACAAACACACAGGATCTGCACTTCAAGTCAGCAGTCAGGAGCAGTGGGCTGATAGAAGACGTGCCATGTTGCCAGAGTGAAACAAGGCGAGGCCATGATTGAGCAAGAGGATGTTCGAGACCGCGATACAAGCAGCTATGAACGCCATGGTCATGATAGCGTAGCGCCGGCCGAAAGACTTATGCCTGCCCCATCGTCAACTCCTCCTAGCCGTCAATCAAGAAGCTCACTTGACAAGAGTCATCGACACGAGAACAGTCGGAAACTCCGCGAGAGTGAGAGTGAGCATGAGCGCGAACCTCCACCACGCGTCGAGCCTTACGAGAGAGTGAGGAGGGAGAAAGTGAGTCGAAGACAGGTACTTGAAGACTTGGTGCTCCAGCAAAATGGGATACCTGGGAATGTTCAGACCCTGCCAGCAAATGGTAGAGGCAGCCTCACATGTAAACATGTCCAAACATGCCGAACGCCAAGAAGCTCCAGACACAGACCAAGCATATGATGATTCCACGCAAAGGCTCCGAAGTTATGTCACGAATCTTTAAACGAAGTTCAGGGGCCTCTGAGGTTGAGAGACGTTTCACCTGCTTCCTCCATGACGACTTTGAAGAATCAGACTTGTCGCCGGCGCTCTCGATCTTCTTCACCCTTCCCCCCTTTGCACCAACATCACGCAGAGCTAAAAGATGAGGTCGAGGTACTTTGATCAACTTGTCGCTGGCTTGATTGGTGAAGGCGATGTAGTTCAGCACTTTGTGCAGCTCGTCTGTCCTTCCCTTGTACAAGAGGAAGAACGGCGACTCAGGCACAAAGTAGTAGACGAGAATCAGTCCAATGATATCCGGCAACACTCCTGCAGCAAGAAAGACTTGGTCAGGTAGGGAGTTGAGAGATGCTTCACATGAGCAGCTTTCATGCTTTCATCTCGTGGACGCCATCGCATCAAGACTGGTATCTTTGTAAGATTGTCTGGACCTCACCTGCAAGGAGAGTTCCTCGCCACCACGGACAGTTGGTGGTGCACGAGTATCCGCTCATCAAGAACATGCCCCAAGTCAGAACAATCGTTGATCCTAGCGGAAACGCGATGGCAGGGATGACGAGGACAGATCTTGCGTCAAGCATGGCACATCAGAGGTTGTCCTCGGAAAGACTTCACTTGTTTCTCACCTGCTCCTCTGCTTTGATGTAGAGAATTCAGCCATGAGTACGACAGCTGTGGGAAACACAAGGCCCATGGAGAACCCAACAAGGCATCTTGAAAAGAGCAGGGTGTACTTTCCTTGTGAAAAGGCTGACAAGATACTGATTGGGACGAAGATGGCTCCGTGAATGTAAATCACAGCAAGTCTGAAGGTCGAGGAAGAACATCTCAGATCATATGGACGGTACAACAAAGTCACTCACCGCCCTATGATGTCGCCGACCCACCCACCCACCAGTGCACCGAAGAAAAACCCGAAGTTCGGCCCTGCTCATTTTGTGAACTTGAAGTTCCAGTGATTGAAGCGACTTCATACCGCTGATCAGCAGCGAGCGAAAGCTATCCTCCATCTTCCATTCTTCCTTCGGCAGTGCCTGCACAAGTGTGATTCTTCCTTGGAGCCAGCAAGCACTCTGCAGTCAATGATTGAACCTTCCAGGCAAGGTTGATGATATTCATCTCCATTCCATCCGAAACAATAAACAAGACAAATGCCGTCAAAGATATCAGCTGAAATCTGCAGCCCATGTCATCCCGCTCAAGGTCTCATCTTGAAACATCACCGTCCCCATCCGCATGCGTCGATCTGATCGTGCAGCGTCGGGTCCTCTACGTCACCGTCCTCCTCTACGCATTTGCTCTTTGGCAAACTGTCTGGAATTTCAGCTAGCGACGGATTGCTCGCTTCAGGATGCAAACGGGAGCTTCCATTTGCCGTTCCCTTGAGCGCGACTTCTTTTCGATAAATATTGACCAAATTGCAGCGCAAACCAGCTCGAGGAGCTGATCTATGCTTGTGTTGCGGGGAGTGAAAAGAAATCGACCTGTCCCTGAAGATCTCAGAAACCAGAAGTGAAGCAACCTCAAAACTAGTACGCAAGAAGATCGAATCACATTTCACACTGCCATTTTCCACACCTTTTCTAGTTCAGCAACCCAAAAACCCTCTCACTAACTTGAAAACGCCTCTGCAGAAGTATGGACTAGACCGAAATTCTCTCATGATCCTGGTCTTTTGAGAGCTCATACTCATTTCTCTTTTCATTGACCATTCTCTACTGTCGCCATATACTTGAAATGAAAAGAGCCCACCATTTCCTGGCGATCGTGCGTGATTTCTCTCCACGTGATTTCTCGCCTACTTTCAGGGTTTCACTGGAATCTCCCTTGCCCCCCATGTCATGTTTCAACTTGTCTTCTCTGCTATCTCCTCTCCTTTCTCGTTTCCCCTGCTACCTGCTTCCTCTCCTCTCATCTCTTCCCTGATGTTCTCTGTTCGCTTTCGATGCTCGTCGACATTTCTTCCCTCATTGGCCATGCTTTCGCTTCACGTTCTCGACATCTCCAGCAGGGTCCTGATCGCTACCCCAACCACGTTACCACCCCACCCACCCCACCCCACCCCCTATACAGCAATATTTCTATTAACCCCCACCACCACTTTATGTATCCACTACCTACCCTTGACTCAACCAGGTTTCTCCACACCACCCCCATGTTGGCAAAGTCCGTCTCCATGAACCCACCCCTGTATCATCCCAACCGTGGAAGTACCTTGTAGTACCCCACCCCTATGATCTTAAGTCTCATTCATCGAACCCCTACCCACTTTTGGTACTGTAAATACCCCCTTCATTCACGTAACCTGCCCTTGGTCCATCATCACCCCTACCACCCACGGCGATCGACTACCCCCTCCTCTCCATCTGGTAGGAGAATCTTACACTCGACCCTCATCCCCGCTCATCGATTTGCCCTCATCCCCCAAACTCTCTGCTACGCCTCCCCCCTACAACTACTACTTACTTCCCGTGCAAGGCCATGGCAGGGTTGCGGCTGTTGTTGCTCATGTAAGCTTCACAGTCTGAAAGCAGCAAGTGCTCCTCGTCCTAGTTCCTCTGTCTTCCCTTCCTCAAGTTGGTTTCCTGTCTCAGTCTTCAAACCTGCAGGCAGACTTTGCTGCTCGCATCTGCAGATTTCTGCGACGACTTTGACGGTGAGGGATCGAATGGAGTGAGTCCGGCGTAACGAGGGTGCGGCAGTCAGTCAGCTTGATGGCTCAGACCCGCTTGACTACTGCAAGGTTTCGCTTCCTACACGCGCCTTGCATGGTTTCACGGTGAGAATTACCAGGCTCAGTTCATGATGGGACATCCTCCCAAAATTGGAACAGTTTGCCTTGCTCGCCCTCAGGATGCTTTCCCTACCCAGGTGTGCCTCCTCGGCTTATCGTATTTTCAACTAATTTTAGCTCTATTCCATTCACACTTCTCTTCACTTGTAGGCTGCCTATGGCGAGGTAGATGCCGGATGTGTTCAGAGAGAGATCGAGGCTCTCGCAGGTCTGCCTGATTCCGTCGTGACCTGCTTGTCCCTTGACTCCCCGCCTGATCTTGTCAGGCGAGAAAGATGGCAGCCTCAGAACTTATCTCATGTCCAACACCGGTATGTAGAAAGATCTATCACTCAGGAAGATCACGTTCTTCCTTCCAGTTCCCACCGTCATCGGACCCAGTGGCAAGCTTTACATCACCGACCATCATCACTTGAGCAGAGCTTTGCTGCAGGTGAGGTTGTTTGTATACCTACATGTATGGTGACAGATTGCTTTGCATCAGTCTTTCTTGCCATACGACAAGCCCTACATACACCGACTGCTCTACTTGTGCATTAACGAAGTAAGAATTCTCATGTCCCTTCGATTCCTCACGTGACCGGCTGCCGTCAACAGGACTTGAGCAAATATGATGAGCAAGGGTTTTGGGATGAGATGCAATCCAGGCAATTAGTATGGCTCTACGACAATGAGGGCAACAACATCACAGTGGTACTCGTGATATGATTCTTAGTTGAGGTTTGTTTGACCTTGATCGCAACAGCATGACTTGCCACAATCCGTCAAGTACTTGAAAGATGATCCTTATCGCACTTTAGCGATGTATGTTCGCCAGGTGAGCCTTTGTTTTTTGTTTTGAGAGGAATCGATCTTCTTGAGGTTTTGTTGATCATTGACGCGTCAGTCATACGGTTTCATCAAGTGCGGCTCCAAGAGCGCAAATTCAAAGTTCCCGCAATGCGAGGGAGGTCAGTTTGTTCGACTTCTTTTTCCCTCTCGCCATCAGCGCAACTTGTCAGTGCTATTTGTGAATATGTTGGACAGGAAATGTGACAGCCAAGCCTTACATCGAGTTCAAGTGATCCTTCCTACCTCACCTCTCAACCCTCTCAAACTTTCTCATCAGATGGGCCAAACTCTATCGCGCGCAGTTTCCTCTTCCTGACATCTACGATCAGTCGGACCAAGTGACGTCACTGACTTTGCGGCTCCGACTTGACACGTCATGTAGGCTCAAGTTATTCAGCTGCAAAGCGTGTTGGGCCAGGCGATCACCATCTCTCTTGGTCAGTAGACGCTCCTCAAGCTCCCTTGTGCTCCTATACATGATGTCTGACAAGCTCTCGCAGACCCACGCAATGCCGGTCAAGAAGGTTTCAACCGTCTCGGCCCCAAGGTAGCGAGGGCGGGAAACATGCCAAGAGGCGTTAAGACTGTTTGCAGTCTGCCCAGCAGTGACTCTCGATGACCACGGATGTGTTGCGGAAGACGACAAGAAGAAGAAGAAGAAGAAGAAGCAGGTGATGAAAGATCAGAGGAAAGCGTTGTTTTGTGACACATGCGTCAGTACTTCATGGTTGAGGAAGAGAATCTTTTCGAGAAGATTCAGTGAAGTCTTGCTGCTCGTTTGCTTGAGCTGTTCATGGTGTAGCTTCGTTCTGTTTTCTCTATGTCTCGAATTTCGTCTTCACTCCCTGTCGCCCAGTCAGAGCAAACCAGTGACTCCTCAGCCTCTCGCCTGAAACCCAGGGCTTTGAAACCTCGAGGACCCGCCGGGACTGCGGAACCCTCCTCCCCTTGGGCTCATGTTGGACCGTCCAGGGCTCGCGAAGTCTTTCTTCTCCTGATCACTCTCGTCAACGCCTGTAATCTATCGCTTCTGCTGCCCTTACCATCGCATAGTCTACCCTCAGGATGCGACCCATCACCTGCCGCAGGCTCTCACTGCCTTTCTCCACCCCTCTCCTCATAGTCTGCTCCCTCTCCATCCCATCCCTCCTCTTCCTCTATTATCCCCATCTCCTCCATCCCTCCCCACCTTCGTTCCTCCCAGTGCCACAGCCTTCTCTGTGCTCTCGGTATCAAAGAACTCGACGTGACTGCCATTGGAATGAGCACATGTCGCCGCCTCTCCCTCCTTCACCCGAAGCCTTTGAAGCGTCCCGTCTCTCTGTCCGTCGCCAACCGGATGTTCTTGACCTCTCCGCATCTGCGAGACGCTCAGCAGGAGCCCAGCAGCTTGTCGTATCTTACGGCTCCATGACCTCTCGAAGTGCCTGCTCGTCGATATCAAACGCCAAATTTCCGCAGAAGACGGTCGTGCATCCAGGCGGCTTCTCCTGCATCCAAGTCACTCGGACATCGTCCACGTTGACCGCCTGCCTTGGGTTGAAATGATTCTCTTGCTTGATGTGAAGGGCTTTCCGGTCCCGATCTCCTTCCTGCAGTCTTTGATACCGCGTAGTCCACGCGCAGCCTCCTTCCCATAAACTGTTGACCTACAGCTAAATCAACACACCAGCTGGACTATCAGGTGGAAACCCACCTGAGAGAGCCACTGCCGATCGGACTGAGTCTGGATTTCTGAACTGAACATGAGCGAAGCCTTTGAAGTCTCCCTGCGGATACTTGTCAGTCAGATGAAGCAGGCGGCTAAATTTACAGTCTCCTTATCCTCTCCCCATCGAATTTCAACGATCTCTCCGCACTCATGCAAGACTTCCCTGTCAGTGGGTGAGCGAGAGGGACAAGACAATTGTCTGATGCCTCAGTGCTGCTTCATCGATCTCAAAGGGAAGGCCCCCAACGAAGACCGTGTCGCATCCCTAACGAGCCTGTGAGCACTACGAACAAGTTCTGCTCCGAAGTTACCGAGGGCGCTTGCGACTTCTTCACTTCGTTGACCTTCACCCACCTGTAGCTTGTCATCAGCAATGGCTGAGACGACTGCAATGAGTCAGTTCACCTCCCCAGAAGGTCTTGACCGCTCTTCTTCACGGCATTCTCCATTGCCTCTTTGGTAGCGAACGTGACATGTCCGTACCTGCCCATCGTCACAAGTAACACAAATTTTCAAGTCGTGCGGAACCCTTGGGGCCTTCCATCAGAACGAGTCTCGAGCTGCAGCTGCAGAGCGAGTGACCTTGCTATACTGAACGAGTCGACGTTACCGAGACTATGTCGCCACAGTCCGCAAAGAAGTTCCGAACATCGTCCTGAGGCGGAGAAGTGAGAGTCAGCAGATTCATAGCAAACATTCTCAAACACAAGGAGAAAGTTTTACCTCCGTTGCATCGTAAGACAGCCCACCAACAAACACTTTATGTTCTCCACCAACTGTCTGAAGGGCTAGTCAGTTCAAGTTTAAACTAAACATCCTGAACCTCGATCTTCCGCTTCTTGTTGTCTACTTCGGGCTGCTCCACTTGCTCTTCAGGCCGATTTCGTTTCTTGGCGTCCAATGCAGACGGTCGCTCTTGAGATGATGATGATGATGATGATGATGATGATGATGAGGAGGAGGAGGAGGAGGATGTAGAAGATTCTTTCAATACGAGAGAGTCAGTTTGCACTATTGAGATTAGAAGGTCGTTTGACAATCAGAGTACCAGAGGAAGATCCAGAAGATGAGCTGCTGGACGAGTCTGACGAGTCTACATCAAGTCAGATTTAGAATGAGAAAAAAACCTTCCGACCTGAAGATGATTCATCAGATGAAGCTTCCCCTGCAGGAATCAGGAAATCAGGTGAACAAAGCAAGGCATAAAAAATCAATGTACCTTTTCCTACTTTTGTATCCTCACTGGCTACCTTCTTGACCGGGGTTTTCGTTGGCGTCTTTGCCGGGGTTTTCGCTGGCGTCTTCGTCGGCGTCTTGCTTCCTGCCTTCCCTCCGCTGCCTGTCGCCTGTCCCTCCTGCTTGCCCTTGCCTTTCCCTGGTGTCGTCGTGACCTTGGCCGTGCTCGCAGCCTGTTGGGCCTCCTCGGACTCGTCGGACTCGTCTGAGCTGGACTCGTCGGACTCTTCTTCTTCCTCCTCCTCGGATTTCTCCTCGTCCTCGGACTCCTCCTCCTCCTCGGACTTCTCCTCCTCCTCCTCGGACTCCTCCTCTTCCTCCTCGGACTCCTCCTTTTTGGTTTCTACGATTCCTGCCGTACCCTTCCCCCCGGGCTTGGACGGGCTTGTCTTGGAGGGTGTCTTTGCCGGGCTTTTCGTTGGCGTCTTTGCCGGGGTTTTCGCTGGCGTCTTCGTCGGCGTCTTGCTTCCTGCCTTCCCTCCGCTGCCTGTCGCCTGTCCCTCCTGCTTGCCCTTGCCTTTCCCTGGTGTCGTCGTGACCTTGGCCGTGCTCGCAGCCTGTTGGGCCTCCTCGGACTCGTCGGACTCGTCTGAGCTGGACTCGTCGGACTCGTCTGAGCTGGACTCGTCGGACTCGTCTGAGCTGGACTCGTCGGACTCTTCTTCTTCCTCCTCCTCGGACTCCTCCTCCTCGGATTTCTCCTCGTCCTCGGACTCCTCCTCCTCCTCGGACTTCTCCTCCTCCTCCTCGGACTCCTCCTCCTCCTCGGACTCCTCCTTTTTGGTTTCTACGATTCCTGCCGTACCCTTCCCCCCGGGCTTGGACGGGCTTGTCTTGGAGGGTGTCTTTGCCGGGGTTTTCGCTGGCGTCTTCGTCGGCGTCTTGCTTCCTGCCTTCCCTCCGCTGCCTGTCGCCTGTCCCTCCTGCTTGCCCTTGCCTTTCCCTGGTGTCGTCGTGACCTTGGCCGTGCTCGCAGCCTGTTGGGCCTCCTCGGACTCGTCGGACTCGTCTGAGCTGGACTCGTCGGACTCGTCTGAGCTGGACTCGTCGGAACCAGACTCATTCTCGTCTGACTGGTCGTCTGAGTCACTTGATTGTTCGGAGTCTGAAGAATCTGTCTCAGCTTCCGAATCCTCAGTGTTATGGCGAGCATTCTTTCCCTTTTGGGAACTTTTCGAAGATGAGTTCACCGGATTGCTCTTGGCTGCTGGTTTGCTGGGTTCCTTTCCATTCACCATGCCAGCAGGCTTCTGCTTACCTTCAGCCTTTGGTTTCGATGCTGATGTTCCTGCAGAGTTGCTAGGTGGAAGTTGAGGTTTTCCGAGCACGTTGGATTTCTTTCCTGGGGATTTTCCCTTGACAAGCTCTTTCTCGGCACTCTTTTTGCTATCTTTGCTATCCACACTTTTCAACGACTTCACATCGCCAACCTGCGGCTGTTTCCTCGCGGCTCCTCCTCTCAACGACAGACATCTCCTCCCTCCTCCCACGAGCGGCAACCATCGCTGAGGCCCATCAGGTGAACCATGCGACGTTTCGTGAAGAAGACCCATCCTCAAAGTCGTGAATGGTGTTGAAGACCGAGGTTTCATGACGGCCCCATGCTCGATCCCGTCCATCTCCCTTGCATCTGCGTACAGCATGCTATGCGGCCTCGACAACCCGCTCACCGCGACCAAGACGAGCAATGATGGCATGGCAGTTGCCATTGCGCGAACTGGATGCAGGAGCCTCTTCGTGCTCGGGGCTTCTCTCTCTCCGTCTCCCTCCCTCCCTCCCTCCGCTTCTCTCCGCGTCGCCCTCTCCCCAAACAACATGCGTCTCAAAGGCGCCATGCCCCGTGCGCTGTTCGCAGAAGACAGCAAATCATTGACCCTTTTCAATTATTCCAGCATCGTTTGCTGCCCTCCAGGACTCGGATCATGGCCGGCAGGGGAGCCGTAATGGTCGTGGGAGCGCTGGTGCTGGGGTTGATAGAGGAAGGGCGCGGGTTCCCATGCTCGTTGAGGAGCTACTTGCATGTCGTAGGTGGATCCAGGCGTCATGTTCAGTCGCTGCATACTGCAAGACCGCCATTCAACTCGAAACGCGTGCATATCCTCGCTATGTTGCCCAAGTCCAACGGCGAAGTCCTTGCTGCCATAGAGGAGGAGGACGTCGGTTCGCTGAAGGAGCTCCTCGTGCAGGGAGTAGAGACGAACTTCTCAGATGAGTGGGGCACGACCGTCCTGCAGCTCGCCGTGAAGCAGGGGAATGTGGAGGTGCAGCTATTGCTCCATGTCGATGTTTGACCCGCTTACCAAACTCTTGCTGATGCAGGCAGTGAAGCTGCTACTGGAGCACGGAGCTGATCCCAATGTGGCATCATCGTCTGATTCGGAGACCACTCCCCTTCACACGGCGATCATCAAAGGGAACCCCGAGGTCGTGCTGAGTCTGATCCAACATGGCGCGGACTTGACGCGGCGAGATGAGTTCGGAATGACACCGAGAGAGCTTGCAATCAAACGAGGAGGAGCTGAGATCTGCAAGATGGTAAAAGAAGCGCATCGGCAGGAAGACGAGATCGAATCCTCTGCTCCAAGAGTGATGGAAACAAGGAAGATGTGGCAGGGCCCAGCAGACCATCAGGGTCAGAGCAAAGTATCCCAGGACACTGTGAAGCGGGTCCGCGAGGTGCTGATCTTTGTGATCTTTGTGATGAGATGGAGGATGGAGCTCACTCTCCTTGTACTCGTTGCAGATGGCGGCGGATTGGGAAGCGTCCGAGTTAGGTAGGGATGGAGATGGAGGAAGTTTGGTAGAGCTAGTTGTTGACAGCGAGACCGGAGAGCAAACTTTCCGTCGGATTCCCTTGAAAGGAGGAGCTCAACATTTGTACGAAGACTTGTAGATAAAATGTCATTCATAGATGTATCGAGTCACAGGCAATGCCATTCATATTGCACTGGCAAAGGAGGGCCAGTAAATCGGAGAGTGACCAACGCCAGTGAATGAGAAACTTGCTGAGTCGGCAGCTGAGTTATGGCCCAGGGCCCTGGGGCGGTCTGAGCCAGCGGCTCGCACTCGAGTCGTGACCGTACTGTCAACCGTTCCGAAGTTCACTACTGTCAAACGGGCCGGATCAGATCAAGTTCCGAAGTTCCGTTTGCCGCGCCGCGTGCCGACAGTCACACTGTGAGCCCGGCGGGCAGCGGCCGGGCCGCAGAGCGGACTCTGGGGCGGACTCAGTCTGTTATTCGGTGAAGAGACACTGCATGGCGAAGCGGGCGGCGGGGAGATGGGCTGGGGCCTCTGGGCTGATGGCGCTTCCTCTAGCGATAGCGATGTCATTGATCATCATCTTGTTACAGTCAAACTCGAGCAGAGAGGTGAGGAGAGGAGAAAGCATGGTGAAGGAAAGAAGGAACCACAGCTTCGTTGACGTCTTTCTGCTCAGGTTAGTTTGGCAGCTCGTGTAGCCAAGTCGGAACACAAGATGGTGAGCGCCGCTGAGCATGCCACGGAGAGCTTCGCTGATCATGATGTTACAACTGCGGTACTTGTACTGACGCTGTGATCCTTCCAACGTGTGATTGCTGTATAAGGTGCTGCGGGCTCAACAAGCCGCAAAGGCAAGATATCAGAAGATGATGGCCGCGGCTCTGCAGGTGACGAACGGAGAGATGAAAAAATGCACACATATCCAGGGAGACAGTTGTCTTGTAGGCAGAGCAAGAAAGATAGACTCGAAAGACATTCTTGTCCGACAAATTGTATCTACAGCTGAACTTGGGTTTCAGGCAGAAGCTCGTGCACACAAGGAGGGTGAGGTAGCAACGGCAAAGGCCATGTCGTATCAGCAGAGTTTGGAAAAACGGATGCTTTTTGCAAGAAGAAGGCGGGATATGATGTAAACTCTCCACTGGCATGTCGATTTTTGTGATCATTTCTCCAGGGACGAGGCCCGCCAAATCAGGAAGGATCAGTACTTGGAATCGCGAATGAATCAAGAGCTTTCAAGGACATTAGGAAATCGTGTAATTTCCGGGCAGTAAACTCTTAGCCTCCAATTCATTCTCAACCAAATCGCACTTGACGAAATTTTCCTCGGTGTCAAAATACTTCTTCACCTCCTCTGGTGAATAGTGTCGCACTGCTGCCGTCATGGTAGCCGTGGCGCCTCAGGTGGTCTCACGGCTGGCCAGCTTCAAGCTTGTTTTCAAACCCTCGATCTCGCGATCTTTCGTTTCGAGCTTGTCATAAAGGGAATCGATCAGTTGGTTTGACTTGCTCTTGATGTCCGCCTCGGACTTGCTCGCTGCTTCTTTCATCGACTTGATCTGATCGTGCAACTTCCGTATGTTGTTGTTTGCCTGATGTGAATGTAAATTAGAGGAGTCAGAATGAGATATTAGAAACCTCTTCAAGCTTCTCTTCGCAGCGAAAAGTGGCCTGTGCAGCCTCGAGCACATTATTTTTCTCCTTGTCTATCGCAATTCTGAGTTCTTTGATGCATTCGTCCTTCTTCATGCAAGCTTTCTCGGACTCGCTCAGATTTGAAACCAATTCAGCGATCCGCTTCTCTAGCGAAATGATTTTCGTGTTGCTCACTGAGCATTCTTTCTTCCATGTCTGCATGTCTTCTTGCAGCTTTCCGATTTCAGTGTCTCGCGACCTTCGCAAAGTCTCCAGTTCTTTCTTCGAGCTTTCTTGCGCTTCTTCGCACTGACGATTCACTTTTTCCAGAAGAGCAATCTTGTCGTGGAGTCCGTCAATGATCTTGTTTGCTTTCTGTTTGACGGCTTGTTCTACCTCGGATATCTGTTTGTCTCGCGCTTGTATTTGCTCATGAAGGGAGCTGATGATTTTGTTTGCTTTTGTTGTCTTCTCTTCAACAGTTTTTTGAGCAGTTGCAACTCTGTCCTCTAATTCGTCGCGTAAGATTGTAATTCGCTTTCCAATCGCACGTCATTTACTGTCTGTCAGAAGTGAAGTCCCTTACCTTGTTTGCTTGCTGCAACTTGTCGTCCTGTTCCTTCTTGCTGTTTTCAACCCTTGAAATCTCTCCCTGGAGTTGCTTCACTTGATCCTGAATGTGTGTTTCAATAGAGATGTGGATAAAAGTGGTGTAAAGAAAAAACCTGGAGCTCTGAGACAACGCAGTTTGCTTGAGCCTCTTTCTTTTGACTATTCTTCAGATCATCGTACAATCTGCTACTGTTCTGCTGCTCCTTTTCAAGTTTCTCCATCAAAGAACCAATCATTTCATTTGCCTTTGTGATTCGTGCATTGCACTTGGTGATTGCGTCCTCCAATTCCCCGTTCTTCTTCTTCTCGTCAACCAGGAACTGTGCTTGGACTGACACTTCCTGCTCAAGATTCGTCACTTTCTCCGATGCTTCTTTCAGTCGCTGCTCAGCCAGCATCGCATAGTCTAGAGAGTCTGCCGTCTCATTCTTCTGTTTTGCTTCTGTTTGGGCTTTGGAAGTCTGAGTATTTTCGGCTGCAGCTCCAGGCATGACAAGTCACTGGATCCGGGAGCCTGCAAACACAAGGTCAGCATGGTACGAAACCAGTTCTCATCTCCCTCGTCTCCCTCGTCTCCCTCGTCTCCCTCGTCTCCCTCGTCTCCCCTCCTCGTCTTCCTCGTCTTCCTCGTCTTCCTCGTCTTCCTCGTCTTCCTCGTCTTCCTCGTCTTCCTCGTCTTCCTCGATTTCCTCGTCTTCTTCGTCTCCCTCACTATCCTTCACTCTTCGCAAAACATTCCTTTCCTCTGCGTCTGATCAGACTCTATTCTTGTCATTCTTGCCATCCCCTTTTTTTCGATTGATGAGTCAAACCGAGTTCGCCTCAGAGTATTATTTGTTGCGAACTTGCCCTCCCCATCCTGCTCCTGCTCCTGCTCCTGCTCCTGCTCCTGCTCCTGCTCCTGCTCCTGCTCCTGCTCCTGCTCTATTTACCATGTTATTTCTGCCAAGCCCTTCGACTCTCTTTGCAGGTCGCGAGCGCTTTACTCCCTGCACACATCAGTATGTGAATGGCTGTAAACAAGTACAGCCCCATTCACATTCATGTTAGCAAGTAGATCAGATTGGGAATTCCTTGCCAGACTAGGGGCGTCATCATGAAGCTCTTGAAATATCATCGGTAGCACCACGATGTGGGGCAAGGCTTCGCTCTTCTCCTCCTCCCATCGCCCGAAGCATCTCAAACTTCGCAGTAAGATCAACCGAGCGAGAAGCATCGGGGACTATCCCAGTGCCCGAGAACTCTTGCGCAAGTATGCCAAGGAAGTGCCGAACTCAGGGTACGAGCAGACAGTTCTAGCCGAGTGCATGCTGGATGCAGGAGGAGAAGCCGGTTTACAGCAGGCCCTCCATCACATCGACCTTGCCGGCAAACTTCACTGCGAGCCACAAGACCTTGTCGAGAACCGCATCCTCCGAGGAATCGTCGGCACATGTGCGGGTGATCATTCGGGCAGTCTGGTTTTCCTTGAGGGGTTGGAGGAAGCGACAGTCAGGATTTTTAACACACATGGAGCAGAGGAAGAAGACAGAGTTGAAACGTACTACCGCATGAGATTGTTTATATCCGCATATGCTGCAAAGCTGTCAGCGCTCCAGTCCTTGGGGAAAATTGAAGAAATAGAGGTTTGCTCAAGAGCACTTGTAGAATTCGTGCGATCAGAGCGGAAAAATCTGCTTGACATTCTTGAAGAAGAAGACACGATAAAGGGCTGCCTCGACCACCTCATGCTGCTTCGGATGTTGCGAGGGGTTTTGATGCGACCATTCATGGTCAGTAGCGGTCGAGGAGAGATTTGTGAAATGATTGATTCGCTTGAGAGCGTCTTACTGTCTTGCCACTTCCAACTTGGTTCCTCCTTCCGACGGATAGTCCGAGCTTCTTTCACCAGACTTGTGTGCGCAGGCGCGTTGATGCAGCATGAAGCTGCTCCTTCGCGCGGCCTGTTGGTTGAGGGAGCTCAGAAGAAGAATCTGTCGAGAGCTGTTGAGCTTGCAGTCTCCATTGCGATGAAAGAAGACGATGCAGCTGAGGCAGACATGATGGACGAATGCAGCGATCATGATGTTGTGTCTGATGGACCTTCGCTGCTGCCTTGCCCTGTTGACGAGTTGGCCATGCTCACTTGCTCACTGGATGTTTTCTCAATGCTTTCTCGGCGGTTTCCCCACTTGTTTGTGTTGCTTGATGTCTTACTCTTCTGATATAGGTATGCCCGCCAAGCCTTGCTGAGCTCAAATGTGCCGAAACCTCTTGGCAATCATCAGTTCAGATTGCCCCATCAGTGTCGACTGTACTTCTGCTCGTTGTTGGCGTCCTCACGCTGTAAGGATTATGAATCGACGTTGAATGCCGTGCAATCATTCATCAGGACCTTGAAAATGGAGAGTCTATCCTTGGAGCATGATCTCAGAGGCCATCCCGAGGTGCAAACAGAGGATCCCGAGGGGTTCAACTCAAAGAACAAGGTCAGGTTATTGATGTCGTCAGGAAAATATTTGTCTTCTTCGAACATCCGGGATTCAATGCAGGTCTATATCAGCAAGCTGATGTACGTGAAGGTGACACAGCTGCGTTGGAACGAGTTGTAGTTGTGACGATGATGTGACAGGCTTGCTATCACAGGCCACGAGACGTTGGTAAGGGGCTCGAAGTTGCTCGAGCGCTGCTGGAAGAAGGAGGAGCAGCAAGAGTGAAGGCACTGGAGGCTGTCGTGGTGGGGAACCTGCTCCGTCTGAAGCAAGGGATGCTGCCCTGCTCCAACGCTCCTGGGGGTTGCCTTGCGCATGTCGAGGAGAAGCGAAAAGTGTGTGGAGAGAGCGTGAAGCTGTTGGAAGAAGCGCAGGGGCTGGAGCCTATGGACGTCAAACTGCGCGTGCTCGAGGCGTTGGCGCTTGCCTTGTCTGATCAGGTGAGCTGAGAGAGATAGCCGGGGGGTGGGGGGGTGGGGGGGGGGAGGGTTGGAGGAAGAGGGTGAGAGGGAGAGAGAGAGGGAAAGAAGGGAGAGGGAGAGAACTTGAGAGAGGCAGAAGGAATGCGAGGATCGGAATGGAGGAGGAAAGAAACGGGAGAGAGGAGGGAGGGAGAGAGAGACATCTTGACACGTCAGTGCGAAGATGAAAAGGGCGGAAGAAGTTCTTACAGACTGTATGGGATGGATGGACGTAGAGGACAAGGAGTCGCTCTCTTTTGCTTGTCTGTTTGCCATGGTCTTGTGGTCCAACGGTTCATCTCTGCTCTGCTATCCTTCCCTCTTCTCTTCTCTCCTCTCCTCTCCTCTCCTCTCCTCTCCTCTTTGCTCTACTCCTCTACCCTACTCTACTACTCTTCTCTCCTCTCCTCTTCTCCGTTTGCTCCTCCTCACGTGAAGTATATCAGGGAACGAGAAGCTCGCACTTGATGTTATGGATCAAGCGCTCGCGACACCTTCAGGTCTATCAATGTTTTGGCTCTTCTCGTCTCAGCTTCTATTAGCGGAAGCACTCGGTCCTCTTGTTCTCTGGGCGCAGGTCCTGCATGTGAAGCTTCTGACCGCGAGCATGCAACGTCCTCAAGGTCAGAAGACGAGTGGAAGAGCCTGCGAATGACATACGAATGACATACGAATGACCTGGGAGGCAGCACTCAAGCTTCTCTTCGATGTGATTCACCGAGCTAGCCGACAGGACCTTGTTCTCGCACGCGATTCCACCTCCTCCCAAGACGCGCTTGTCCACTTTCAGCGCCTTCTGCAGGACGTCGAGGCCGGGCGAGGAGGTTGCAACGTGCAGACAGCAGGGCTGTGGGTGGCGTGCGCTGAGACATACGTGCTGGAGAGAGAGCTTGAGCACGCGACTACCACCATCGCAATCGCAAAGAGGTTGTCGCCCTTCCTCCCAGACGTCGCTTTCCTTCAGGTAGGACGGGAGGAAGGCGTGCAGGAGCAGGTGACTTGGCTACTTTCAGGGGCTCATCGCGAAGGAGCTGGGGAAACCCGATGCAGCGCTTGAATATTTCAACAAGGTCTCCGTCACGTTCCCCTCGTCCTCGTCCTCGTCCTCTCGTCCCACTCATTTCATCCTCGCTGTCGCCCTCTCCCTTGCTCTCTCGCTTACATTCAACATTTTGTACGATGTCTGTCTCCTTTCCTTTCATCTCCTCCACTTCCTCCCCTGTGCTCACCTCAAGTTTATCTCAGACAATCGCTCTCGATCCCCAGCATGTCCGAGCTCTGGTGCAGATAGCTGAGATGCAAACGAAGGAAAGGTAGAGCCTCTCCATTTCCAGCTCCCTCCCTAGTCCGTGTTTGCCTTGGATTCCCTGAGTAACTTCCTTTAGACTACTTCACGTCGTTTTCGCTGCCCCCCTCCTACTCCCTTCGATCCGCCTGTTCACTCTCCTCGCAGTCCCCGCGAAGCTGCTGATCTTCTTCGTCGGGCTGTTGCGAGCGACAGCAGCGTCTCCTCCAGCTGGAAGCTTCTCGGGCATTCGCTGAGAGAAATGGGAGACGAGGAGGGAGGACGTGAATGTTTTCAGCGGTACATGGAGCTTGAGAGGTCTACGCAAACCATTCTGCTCCCTGCTGTCTCTTCTTACATTCGCTCTCAGGATTTCTGTTCCTGTCTCCTTCCTGCAATTTCCCGTGCAATTCGGCAGCTGAAGAGGAGGGAGTAAAACACATTAAGTTTATTCACTCAGAGGATATTTTACACCCAAGGCTTACTTATCTCACACCCTCGCGCCCTCTCAGGACGGAGTCATCAACATTGGCTGCGGACTTGCGTTGAAGAACGTGAGAGGCGAACTGAGAGGAAAGCGTCACGAGGATTGCAAGCAGATGTACTGGAGGCGGAAGCGAACAAAAGGAGAGAAGAGGAGGAGGAGGGAGCTAGAGGCATGAGCAGGAGGAGGAACGAGGAAAGGAGGAAGAGGAGAGGAGAGGAGAGGAGAGGAGAGAAGGATAGAAGAGGGGGAGGGAGGGGGAAGAGGAGGAGATGTCAGCAGACAGGGACCAGCGAAGAAACCTGCAGGATGATGCTCGCTTGGCATCCTTGGCGGCTGACCGGATCATTCTTTTTGTCGATCGCCTTCCCTTCAGCTGTCCCTGCATTCAACGTAACATTAGCTGCCGACGGATGGAAGGCAGGGGGAAGAAGGACGAGGACGAGGACGAGGACGAGGACGGGGATAAGATGTCTGTGTGTTGGGGGGGGAGAGAGCGGGCGGACGGGGGCGGGGGGGGGGGGGGGAGGGGGGAATGTCCGGGACTGAGTCACCTCAAGAATGCTTGAGACGGGAGGAGAAAGGGCCTCCCTGCATCCCTCCCTCCAGTTGGAGATTAGTGAGCTCTGCAGCAGAGGGTGAGCTGAGAGGATAGATGGGGTAAGTCTCTCACGCTCTCAGGGGTCGAGAGCAGCTTGCTCTTAGCGTTGAAACTTGAGTTGTGAGCCGTGCGGGGGGAAGTGGTGTCAAGATCGTCCAGGAAAGTCCTGCTCCTCGTCACTGACTTGCTCTTTCACCATCTGCCTCACCTGTAACCATACTGCTCGTCCTCGCCTTCTCGAAGCGCCATCTCGTCCCTCATCCCTCCTCCGAATGACATGTTTGACGCCTTGTCAACAAATAAGAACAAGAATGTCGTCCTGGTCCCTCTCTACCTGACTCCCGCTCAGGTCCAGCGATATTTCTCCAATGTCCTTCTTCCACGCGTCGTCGCTGACGTCACAGATGCCAAGCTCGTCGCTCTCAAGCTTGAAGTGAGTGTCTTCGAACTCCGAGGCCGTGACCTGCACCAAGTCAGCCTCTCCTCTCGCCCTCTGTATATAACTGCATTAACCTGATCGAAAGAGTTTAAGTCCGATCGCGGAGCGTCAAAGGAGTCGCACAACTCGGGCACTGGATCGCAGAGTCAGGTGGGGCGAGAAGTGGAGGGAGGAGGGAGAGGGGGTGAGGGAGGAGGAGGACGGGGGAAAGTAAACCTGCAGCATGCGTGTCTGATAGCATCCTCTCCATCTCAGTTACCAGCGCTCCTCCTAGCTCGCATGATTCGAGTCCTGCAGACAAATGTGTGAAGGTCGGCTAAATGATTGATGTGATTGAGAGTTTGATGACGATGACGATGATAACTAAGGATGAAGATGTAGAAGACGGAGAAGGACCTTCGTCGTCGAAAATCTTCAAATTGATGCGTTTGGTCTCATCAGGAGCTGATAGAATATCACCACGTCAACAGAAACTTTCTCATTTCTACCAGGTTTTAGCGGGTCTGCCTCGGTCTTGACAGTCTTGGTCGCAGGAGCTTTCTTTGCTGGCAAGGCGAGTGAGTTCAGACACGTTGGTAGTCAAATGACTCACCAGCTGCCTTCTTGTTTTGTTTTCCTGACTTGTCGGATGACGGCGGCAACATGTGAGAGCTGTTGCTGTCATGTATGCCGTCAGTGATACCCTGCTGCTGCTGCTGCTGCTGCTGCTGCGCTTGTCAGAGGCATTGGGGGTACGAAAAATTCAAGAACCAGGAATGCCGTGTTGGTAATATCAAGGATGGGAGCCATTTGACTCGACTGCCCGCTCTTCTTTGATACCTCCGGTTTCTTGCAGAAAAGTCAAAACCCTCTAAGAGTCCACCTCTCTCTTCTCACCTTCGTCGAGCTGTTCTCAGCGGTTGACTGGCTTGTTTTGGGGTTAGGAACAGTTGTGATTTTCTTGCTCAGCTGAAAGTTGATGTTCTTGTCCATCTCAACGATAGAGAAGGCAGACTGCATTCCGCCATGACTGAAGCTGTAACTTCCATACATGCTGCTTTCCCCCTTCTGCGCAGCCGTTGATGTGGCAGCGCTGCTTGTTTTTCTCTTCTTCTTTGGTCCTGGGCCGGATTTCGCAGCAGAAGACATGGAGGAGTTGCAGAGAGAGAGAGCAGGCGATGGGGCAGGGGCAGGGGCAGAGGCGTGTGGATGAGCATGATGGGCATGAGGAGGGATCCAGTAAGGATGAGGGGGATGAGTAGGAATGTTTGCTGTCCTTGCTCCCCAGCCGTTGGGAGGATTTCGATGATGCATGTGCGTCTGTTGGAGCATAGTGTTGGCTCCGCTCATGCTGAAACTTTTCTCCATCATGTCGCTGTGAACACTGAGTGAGGTTGTTGTGGAACCAAAGCTGTACGCTCACCGATCTCGTTTCTTCTTTGAGCATCTGACGGGAGTGCCATCGGGGTTCAGCTTTCCCCTGCTTTTCATCAACACTTTGAGCAGGTGATCAAGAAGAAGCTTACATGGCGATGTTCTTTTCTTTTCGCATCTTCCTTCTGATCGTTGAGTTCCAACGGTTCTTGATCGCGTTGTCAGTTCTTCCCGGAACCTGAAGTCACATCTCAGATGTCACACCATGACATCGCTCTGATCACACCAATTTGGCAATTTCTGCCCACTTATTTCCGTGGATCTTTTGAGCCTCCATGATCAGCATGTCCTCCTCCTCGGTCCATGGACCTTTCATGATGTTTGGATCGAGCTGGTTATGCCACCGCTCTCTGATCTGCTTGCCCGTTCTGTTTGGAAGGAACGAGGCGACGAGGACCCAGGACTTGTCTCCATGCTTATCTACCAGTTTCCTGACCTCCTCGTCCTCCTAATCTCATTCTCAGCAACAATCAAACGATGACAGTCAAACTTTCACCTCAGGAGTCCAAGGGGCCTTCTGTCCATTCTTCTGATTCATTTTCTTCTCATTGTCCAACCTCCGCAGCTCCTCCTCCTTCCTCTGCATTTCTTTTGCACTCATTCGCATTGCTTCAGCGGCTGACATTGAAGGGAACGAGAGATAAGTGCTTGCGGGAATCCCGACGGACCGGTTCATCTGCCTGGAACAAAGCATTTCTGCTCCTTCAGATCTTCCAACCGACGTAAGGCATGAAAACCTGCCAAGAAGGCAAACAGATCAGAATGATCGTATAACAGATGATTCATGCAAATGATCTACCATCACAGAGCTCAAATATCAGATTCTCCGCTCACGTCTGTACAAATGTTATCAGTATCCGCTCATACGGTAATAGACAGGCAAAACATGAACAACAATCATCTTCTTGGTCGGATATTCACGCAGAAGGATGACAAAGGATCTAGAAACATTGCAGAAGTCTTGAGGATCATATTCGCTAACGGCTTTCGCAATAACAAGTTGTACGAATCAATGCTGTATGTTTACGAAAAATTGTTCCGAGCGAGCAACAACACAAGAGACCAGGGGAGGAAGAGAGGATCGTCCTATCAAAAGTGAGGCTCAGATCATGCGAAGTCGATGTATAACGTTGGGGACATGAGATTGAACTTGTATGCGCAAGAGGGGCAGAATGCAGGATGCAGGAGGGCAGGTCGGTCAGTGCAGTCGGTTCTGGGGAGAACCTTTCTAATCCGTTTTCCGCGAAGAGAATAGGCATGCTCGGATTTTCTAGAATATTTAAATCTACTTGACTATTGTTCAAATATTTATTTACATTTGTTTATAATTTTTAAATGTTTTGTGGAAATAAACTTTTCCTAAAGACCCTAGTGAAAAAGCAAACACCCTCTTTAACGGCACAAACCTACTGGGGCCGACAATTTTTACTTAACGACACTATGGCGAACATCCGGGTGCAAGTCAAGTTCCGAAGTTCCGGGGGTGGCGGGCCCGCCGAGTTGCCGCAGTGCCGGGAGCCGGGGCCCGGGAAGCGGCGGTCACGTTGGCGGTGGGCCCTGAGTTACGGTCCCCGGCACCGTACGCCGTGACGGCAAAACTTTCAGCAACGGTGTAAAAATCAGTGACACTGTGGACGGTGAAGGCCCGGCGTGGCAGCTGAGCCTGAGTGTGCGGTCACCGGGCGCGGCCGCCAGGCCACGCCGGGCCGCCGCGGCAGCCTGTACTGTGAGTGACTCTGTGATCTTCTTTACTCAAAGTTAAGTTAAAAATCAGTACGAGGACAATCAGGAGACTTTACTCAAAGTTAAGTTAAAAAGCCGGGGATAGTGACTCGTGTGAGTAAAGAACACCACTCAGCCGAGTGGCATGCCACGGTGAGTTGTCGGGCAAAAAATTGAATTATTGGACTTTTGTCCAGCTAAAAACCTTTCCAGGAAGAGATCGGTGATGAGTAAAGGTTAGTACGGTCGAGCCAAGAAATGGACCTAGGCTGTATAATGGTCATACAAGTTGACTAAAGTTGTTGCCCTCTCACTTCGACATGCAAGTTCTGTACTTTAGTACTGATGTTCTATTTTCGGTGTTGACTAAACTTCTCTTGGTACAGAGGTTCAATTTCATGACCAAAAACTCCGCCTCATCCGGAGTTCGCAATGTAGGAAACTTGTGGCGGTGATTGGCGGGATTATGGTTGTTGCGCTTGACTTGGCGGTGTTAACGTTAGGCTGCAGGTTTGAGCTCATTCACCACTTCACTCAGCTCCATGTCGACTTCGGAGCTACTCAAATCGGCATTACCAATGGCAACACCAATGTAAGTTGAGTATCTTGACTCCTCTTGATCGTTGTGATTTTGTGTCGTCTTAGAATGGCCTTGACCATGCCGGAACCAGTTCCACCGACGAGGTTGGGACCATCGGGTATGCGTCTGGTTGTATTATCCGTGCATTTCTTAGTTTCGGAATCATTGACGAATAATGACTGACCTCTGCGTGTACTAGTGTTGGAAATGTCTCAGGAGGTGGAGAGCTTACCAATCACCTTCACAATGGAGGCACCAGTGTCGGCGGCTTCATCCATGACTTCGGTCACAACCACATCGACAACGTGACAGGCAGTGACGTGAATGGATCCGACGGCATCTTCGGTTAACAGAATCGGATGTCAAGATCATGACATAACGCTGCCCCGCTCAGGCAATGGAGATGACATCAACCAAGGCAACTGGTTCGAGCATTCCCAGTACCTCAGGACCGACCAGGTTCATGTTTTCGTTCATCTGCACTTGTGTTTGATGATATTCCCTTCAGATTCCATCTGACGACTTCGTCGTTGGAGGACGCGTATGTTCACGAATGTTTAGCTTTGCTGCTTGTTGACTCATGAATCAGGGCATGTATGGTGACTACGCCATCCACGCCTTGTGGACGGACACCACCAACATGGACAACCTTCGTGCTGGAGCATTCGGAGGCCAAATTGAGAGTGAGGATGGCAGATTCAGTCGAAGGCGAAATTAACAGCTTCGTTGCAGCCATGCCCCTCTCCAAGCATATCAACTCGTCGTATGCCAACAACGACACCGACAACAACAAGTACTGGGGCGGCGCCTCTGGTTCCGGCTGCAACCCCAACGGCTCTGGCATCAGCGGCTGCACTGCCGGCTCTGCTTCTGGCTACGACAACGGATGGCAGAGGTGCGCGGGACGAGTGCCGGGCATGTCGAACTGATCGTTCACAGGGATCCCCTCACCGGCGGTTACATCACCTACGGCATGCACAGCACTGGCCCCATCAGTGCCGTTGGAGGAGCTTTGAAGTGGCCCCGCTGGCCCGACGCTCCCAACACTGACTCCTCCAAGTACTACTAGATGTGAGAGTGGAGCCTCAGCTATGCCATCTGTTGGCCCCAAGACAGATTAACTAAGGGAAGAGTCGATCGAACTCAGTGCTGAGATTACAAACCGTGATTATCCTGGTTAGCGATTCAATTATTCAACACATTGTTGTCTGGGAAGCTAATCGTCATTGCTATCTGTTGTTTTCCTTCGAAAATTTCGCTGTCAAAGATTTCAAATACTTGATGTGGCCATGAAGCAAGTTAACCTTATTGGAGTTGGATTTGCCTTCGCGTCCCCTGGTGGCAACCGTCAAAGTTGAAATTTTCTTTGTTGATGCAGACCTTTTGAACTGAACGACACCGGGTTTGGCTATTTCTTCTGTGATGTCTCCCTGCTTGCATCGTTACATGCGCGAGCTCTTGTTGAAATTTGTAATCACTGTCTCTTCCTCCTCTACTTTGAAGATCCCTTCAGCCTCGTCATCTCTGATTCCACTGAACACCTGCATGGGTGTCAAAGCGTTTCAAGCGGCTCACAAGTCGCACGTTGTGCTCCTCGTCGCTGTCGTGGTCAACTTTCTGCTCGTAATATTTCTTCTGCTGACTTTCCATCAGCTTGACCTGCGCACGCCTTGTCACGAATCCTGGCAGAACAAGACCAGACACCTTGAGGTCATTTTGAATCCGTTCCTCCTCCACATTGATAATACGAACTGTTTCCCACTTGCCATAGCCAACCTCCAGCTGTGGCACTCGGATGGGCTCTTGTTCTTAACTTGTGTCATCATCAGTCAGAGCTGCAAGTTGCGCACCTTCAGTCGATGTTGTTACTTCTGCTTCTTTGCGTTTGCTCTCCATTTTCAATAGTTTCTTTTCATTCATTTCCTGTCGAACAAAGCAATTCAGCTCGAGACAATTGTATCGACATCATCAGACTCCGACCTGACCGTTGAACAGCATCTCAAGCTCGTAGGAGTCGAAATCCTGACAGATTCATTTAGTTTGTTTCAAGACAGAGATTTCTCTTTTTTTTCACAATCGTCTTCTCCCACGACGAGATTTTGAAAGTCCCGCAAGCAGTGGTCTATCACATTCATGTCAGTCAAGGAGGGCCTTGAGTCTTGATTCATTGTTCTAGATCACCAACCTTGCGCACCAGCGCACCAAGACCAGACGAGAAGTACCCTTCGTTCGCCCAGGAGACCATCTGACAAATTGCTAAAAAGAAGGGAAAGCACAACGACAGCAATCATGCAAAGAGGCTAAACCCACCTGACTGGAGGGGAAAGGACCAAATACCTTTTCATGCTTGTTCTCTGCTTTGCTTCCGGGCTTCCTTATCTTTGACAATTCCTCGATTTCTTTGTCGGCATCTTGTTCTACCGGCTTGTATTCCCACCATCTGAAGAAGCGAGCATGAGACGTCGGGTTCTGGACTGGGGCACCCTTACATCTCTCGTTTCTTGGTTCGTGTACGACCATGAGTGCTGCTGCCTTCCGTTCCTTGCTCATCTTGTGCTTCTTCATCGATCTCCAAGACAATTCCTTGTAGACAAGATCAAATGAATCATTCACGTAAGGCAAGTTTACCCTCTTTTGCGAGTTCGTCTGCCAATGCCTTATCTTCTGTGGTCGTCTTCTGCAGCGGAGTAGGTACAAAGACTGATTCATTTGGATGTCGATCAGTTGGTTTCGGTGGTGGAGGTGGCGGAGCCTGGGCTCTCAAATTTGCGTCTGCTGGAAAGAAGGCTGAGGAAACATTCATTCTGCCTGCCGCGTTCACTGGAGCAACATGCACTTGTGGATGAAACTTAGCTGAAGGAAACAACTCAGACCTCACACAAGACTGCAAACAAAGACGACAGACCTGTACCGATCCCTACATCTGTGAGAAACTGCTCTCGTGCTTTCCTCTCAATTTCTCTGTGCAAAAAGATCAGCAAGACTACTCTAATGCTACACGCTTAGTCCACCTCATCTCCTTCTCCATCTGTGCCTTCTCGATCTCCTCATGTCGCTTCTTTTCGCGGTTGTTTCGGACAAATCTCGCAACAGCTTCTTTGTGTCGGTCGCCTATTAAAATGTTAAGTTTGATGTCCACTCATTAGCCATTGCACATGCTCCTACCACTCTCATGCTTTGTGATAGCCATCTTGCTGTCATTCATCCAGCATTTGCAGTATTTGCACCAATGCTTCGCTTTCGAGACCCAGAACTCCGTCATCTTGGCAACGTTTTACAGTTTCTGAGACAGTTCAAATGTGAGTCTTGACATAAAGGCGGTAACAACCATATGACGACCCTGTACCATCCAAGGTTCTCCACCTTGTTCCCTCACACCATTCACGCCATTACCCTCTGCCCCCTCTCCTTCCATCACAGCCTTCGCCCTCTCCCCCCTGCTCTGCCCCCCTCCCTCCCCTCGCCCTCCCAGAGATTTTACAAGACTTTTAATTGAAATTCCTCTCCCCATCGCCCCTTGCTCTTCCTTGCTGCCTATCGCACGCACTCGTCCTCCTCTCCTCGTCCCCCTCCCCCCTCTCTGCATCTTCGAAAGGCGTGCACCCTCCGTCCCGCCCATCGATGACGAGGGGGCGATGTCCTGCTTTCTGATCTTGCAATGTATCAAGAGGTGAGATTCAGGAGGATACAGGATAAGAAGTTTAGGATGAGCATATTAAGAATAAAACGAAGAGCAAGCGTTGGGAAGGAGCAAGAAGAACAACGGTTTCCATCACTCTGTGGTAACAACTTTTATGAAACGAAGGTAACATCATGAATTCATCTCAAGCTGAAAGAAAAGCGTCATGTTCATAAGACAAGGACGACGTGACTTACATGACTCAGCAAGCCATCAATGTCATGTAGCATCTGTTGTATCCGCTGCTCCTTCTCTTGTTGGGTGGCGTTCTCCGGTATCGTGAAGGAAGGGACAGCAAGGGCCTTGTGGGGCAATGAAATCAATCAACGGCAAGTGCTCCCCCTAGATCCCTACCTCAGTGTTGCCAAGCACAGGCTGTGAATTACTATCACACGGCTTCAGTTCACTCTGCGGTGCTGGAAAGCTAGACGGTCCCCTTCTCTGCATGTCGCGTCACTATTATGGCATCGTGACGGTAAGCCAAGTACATAAACTTTCGCTTTCACGACTCCCCCAACAATTCCCATCTCCTCTTCAAACTGCTTCAACTCTTCTGGTGAAACCTGCTGAAGTATCAGACATCAACATGCTGCTTACACAACATTGGTCACCTCGAGCTGTTGCTGCAGCAGTCTCGCGTCTTGTGTCTTGGCTGTTAAACTTTGCTCTGAAGCTGGCTGAATAGTCTGATCATGTTGGCGTGAAGTAATGGTCTTTTTGCTAATAACCGCTTCTGTGCTAGAGTTGTTGGCAAGAATTTCCGCCTGTTCTTTGTCTAGAACTTCAACCATTTCATCCAACAACTTCGCTATCTCATTTAGATCTGTTCAAATCGTAAGGTTTCCCACAGAACAAGGAATTGCTCCGAGACAAGGCAAATAGAAGAACAGAACATACGAGGAAATCACTCAAAAAGCTTAGCAACCACTGAAAATATGATGATATTGAGCTAGAGAGATGTAATATCTCCCCACGAGACACTTCAGCGCTTCTTTGACTTGATCGTCTTTGCTTTCCAACAAGCACTTGTTCCAAGGGGTTCAATATCATCATATTCAAAGTCCATTTTCGTTCTCTTACGGCGTTGCGGAACAAGAATTCTCTCTGGATACTTGCCTTCATTCACGTGGGCTGCTGTCTTGCCATTGCTTGTGCTAACATTTGTTTTGGGCTTTGATAGATCTGCAGTGTCGATTGTCACACGCTTTCCTTGCGCTGTTTTTTGTGCTCTAATCGGGGACGGAGGGTCAGGTGAAACCCCGTCTAATGGCATGTTCGAGGCCTTTTGATCTGCCAATTGCACTGATCGCGTGATTTCGTCTGCTTCTGCCTTTTCTCTTGAGGTCAGACCATCGAAAGAGTCCTCGTCCTCGTCCTCGTCCTCGTCCTCGTCCTCGTCCTCGCCCTCGTTGCCTTCGTCAATCTCGCCGTGGTTGCTTTCATCGAACATTTTTGACTGCATCATGCTTTCAAGTCTCCTTTGAGTCTGCCGAATCTCCTCCAGCATCTCTACCGTACCTTCGTGCACTTCAGGAGTTGTTTGTTCGCAACTTTTAGATGCCATTGCCGGCGTAAAATTCATTGGTTTCCCAGCCTCTGCAGATTCGTTTTGGTTTTCCTTGTAAAAGCGATCTAGGAATCCCTTTTGGAACATGTCGTTCAAGTGATCTCCACCATATTCCTGCGAGGGTTGAGGTGCAGCCGCTGGCTTGTTCATTTGCACGAGTGTAGAGTTGTGAATAGAGAAGCCCAAGTCTTCTAGGTGAACACCAACGGTTTCCGAATCCGTGTCATCAGCCAACGCAGGGCCTTCGGCTCGCACAGGGTCTAAACCATCATTAGGAGACATCCTCTGCGATGACTTTGCACTCGAGCCCTCTGTCACTTCCATATGCTTGTCTGTACATTTCTCCTGTACCTGTTCACCGGTGTCCTCTGCTTTGGATTGCTTCAAAAACCATCTTGACAGCCAGAGAGCTGCATTGTCCGGTTTGTACCTTATGATATCCTGCACCTGCATCATATCAAAGGCTCAGTCTCAGTCCCTTGGAACCTTAAATACATACCGCATGTCGGAACAAAGGAAGCACGTTTGAACGAAGATAAGGTAAGGATTCTACAAACTGCTGGGGGATTTCATTATCTAGATCTTCCTTTCCGTTGGGATTTTGCAGGGAAGATATGATGTCTGACATTTCCATGGTCCGATTGAGAAGCATTTGCAGGGCTACATCCTCTCCTGCAATTTTCTTCTCGTACTCTCCATGTCCCCCGCGCAGGCATAGCGCTTGGGCGCATCCCCTCGTACTTGGACTTGGCTGAGACAAGCTTAGCATGATCAGAGGAGATGAACGTGTGGGAGGAGAAGAGAAGAGCGTCTGATCTGTGGGAGGAGAAGAGAAGAGCGTCTGATCTGTGGGAGGAGAAGAGAAGAGCGTCTGATCTGCTCGTTCCAAGCGAAGGAGGAGCGACATCACCCCTAGAATGCGACCCATAGACAGCATGCTTCCACGAGGCCTCGTGGGAAGACCTGACAAGCCCCCCTCAGAGGGCCGGTTTCAGCCGGGGCCCGGGCCCCCGGGCAGCAAGCCTGACAGTGAGGCACTGCGGCCGCGTTGAAGAAGGGGCAGCGCGTTCTCGCCAGGTAAGGAGCTTTACTCAAAGTTAAGTTAAAATCAGTACGAGGACAATCAGGAGAGTCGAGGAGAGAACCGGGTAGGAGGCAACCGAAGGCCAAGGTGAGGAGAGGCAACTCTTCTGACTGAGTACTCGCGCGCCTCTTAAGAGCACTAGGATTGCTTGGTTAGGAGCGCCGGTTTCACGCAGCGCCGGTTATTTCACGAAGCTGCAAGCAAAGGTTTGGTATAATGATGAAAACGAAGCGTTTTCCTAACAGCAGGACAGCTCAGGCTTGCAAGCCTTGAAGGCTGTAGAGGCCGGGATGCACCCCGACGCTATCGCAGAAGCCATCCGCTCGACATGTCAGCAGGCGCGACGGGAGCGCATTGTCTGGATGGAGCGATGCATCCAGAGATTGGTTTATGCAGCAGATGGAGGAAGCTAAGAAGATGAATCGCCTCGGTGTATGTCAACTTCGAAGAGATCGGACTGATCCGACTCAGCATATTGGGATTAGGGGCGCTGCAGCGGAATATGAAAATCCAGGATTGTTGATTAGCGCTTTTCATGACCGGTACTTTTGACTGCACTTATACGGGTACTTGCCCTCGCACAGAAGCACCCTTTTACCCCCATTATCATTGAGTAATAGGGGGTGGGGTATTTGAATTGGCATGGGCGGAAACCTTCAAGACCACCCCACTCCCCTCGACACTTTTAACAGACGACATGTTTTAAGGCTGCGAAAACGTTTTAGAAAGATACGAATAATCATAAAATAAATATAAATTGGAAACACAGTAGAAAAGACTTAGAAATACAATACAAATGTTCGAATTTTTTTGGTACCTGATTCAATTTCAATGTGTACTGTGTTTCTGGGTTTGGTACAAGAATGAAGCCACCGGGTCCTTTTCTGCTAGTGCTTTCACAAAACGGGGGTAGGGTAGTCCCCCCTGTCCCCCACCCATCCCTATTTCAGGGATTTGAATTTTTCCCAGAGGCAAGTTGCCACGGCACAAGTTGAGACACATGCCAGTGTGATCTTGAAATTTGGCTTAAGATTTTGAACATTGAAACGTTGATTAATCATGTCAGGACCAAATCTATCAAATTCGTCATCCCCACCTTTGCAAGGAAGTTCCTGCAGACGAAGCAAGCAAACCATTACCCTGGATGATCATCGGAGGAATTGCTCACCTGGGAGTCTCTGGCAAGTCGAGCGGGCTTCCTCTATAAACAAGGAAAATGGCAGGGACAACCTAATGTCAATGCTTGCCTGAAGGCCATAGGTTTGAAAAGAGATCATTTGTAAAATGCAAATCTTTGTAACACCTGGGATGCAGGTAGATCTCCTGAGTTGTTGCTTCGAATCTTACAAGAGTCTGAGGAGCAGAGAGGTTTTAGTCATCATGTGGATGAAGCCAAACGCGAAGGGATTATTTCCCCTCACTCCGATGAACCAATTCCGGCTTGTTACGATGCTATCAAAGATCCAAAAGTGAAAACAGCGATTCTGAAGAAGATCCAGGGTGACACTGATGAGGCCCCCTTCTAGATGTGGTCACGAAGAAGGTAGATCGGCACTTTGCGTCACACAAGGCCAATTGTCGAGTGAAATGGGGACATTTTGCTGATCTATTTCACCACAAGTGTGAGGATGACTCTGGACAGGAAGCGGCCGAGGGGCCTCGAAAGCAGAAGAAGTGCAAAACTTCGAAATACGATAGCCTTACGTTCTTTGAAGGCATTCTGAGCAGTCAAGCCTTCAAGACAGTCATAAAAAATGAACTTGCCACGAATAAGGAGCTTCAAAACTGCCTGAAACCTGCGGTCAGGCAAATGATGCCGAGCGCGCGAGAGGCAGCAGTTGCCCTGACAGCAAACGGTATAACGAAATCGCAGTACCAAGGATTCTGTCGTGCAAACGATAGCATGGCTGGCTGCTTTATTCCCATGCCAAAAATATCACGGGTTACTACTTCGGAGTGGAAGAGAAGCATGCGTTGTGCCAAAGATTCAAACTGTTCTGTTTGCCAGATGGAACACATTGCCTCGGCCTTCTTCAACTTGTCGAAGAGTGGATTGATATCTTCAAACTTCACGGGAAGCATCGCCTTGTTATCACGATCAACTATGACTGTGCAACAATGACATTCTCGGCTGGCAATCCTAAGAAGGCAACTGAAGTCACCATTTCCATTTTCCCTTACGGCGTAGACTGTTCGAGGAAAGAATGGAAATTCTGGCAAAAACTCGTTAGAAGTTCATCGTGCCTTATGACGATGTCCTACATTCCATATGGAGACAGTCCTGAGGTTTTTCAGAGGACTGTGAGAGCTGGATATGATGAAGTTATTGATCTCTTGAAGGAGAAAGGTATTCACATCTACAACAATCAAGCAGTCGGGGGACTTGAAAAGACATTAGCAGGTGGTCAGCCTGACAAGATTATCCAAGTGGAGTTCGTCAAGAGATCTGATTTGCAAGGGCAATGGAATATGTACGGCATTGGTGGAATGACCGACAAGGAGGGCAAGTTCTGTCTCCACTGTAACGAACTCCTCAAAGATCACAAGGCTGGGAAATATTTCGAAATCGAAACAATCGTTTCCAACGAAACTCTGTCCCAAGTTTGTGAAAGACTGGACATGTCTACGGAGGGCATCAAGTTGTTAAACAGAATGTTGAAAAGTCCCGATGCTTTCGAACGAATGTTCGACACCTCGGAAGGAGAATTCCAAGAGTTATTAGCTGAAGAAAATCAGACTCGACTCCAAAATTATCTGCAAGACCCAGAGTTGATCATGGAGATGGGAACAAAGATCCCAGTGATTCGTTTGATCGAAATGGACAGATGCAGCGGCGAAGCAGCTTGTTGCTCGTTTCATGCTTTCATAAGAACGACGAACATGATTATTGGATGCCTTCAAGAGAAAGCGGCGCAGATGAGAAAGGTCGCGACAGTCAATTTTCAATTACAAGAGCAAGGAGTGAATGTCCAATTCACCGAGAAGTCTCATAGCAGGAAGCTGAACGGTGAACAATGCGACAGATTCGTCAAAAAGGCATCAGTCGTCATCAATACCCTTTACAGCGATCCTGCCTATGCAGATGACAGAGAACGATGGATAGGCGTAATGGAAGAATGGGACCTCTTAAGCACCATGCTGAAGTGTCAAGAACTTGACAAACTTGAAAACCTGGATTTTCAAATCGGTTTAACCCTTCCTGTGAGGCTACGAACGCTTATGCTGAATATTATCGACCTGGTTGGAGATCCTAGTTTGATGCAGTCATTCTACTTCCACTCGCTCCTTGTTGGGCACATTGGCCAACAATTCTACGACCGTTTGGTACAATATGGGATCCCTCTTGGATTACTGAACATCAGTAACGTCGAAAATCGCCACAGACATTTTGGAAGACCTTCGTATTTGCAAGTCCAACCAGAGGTAAATGCATTCGTCTCAAAAAAAAAAAACGTCGAAGGGTTTAGGGTTTAGGGTTTGCCAGGTGTAGGGGAAGCCGCCAGGGCGCCAAGGAAGCTGCAAGCGAGAGGTTTGTATACTTCAAATAGCTTTCTAAGTATGGTTCTTCAGTATGATGAAAATGTTCGCAACCTGCTGTATCGGAGATCATGCCAATACACGCAGAGCGGACTTGTGGATGCCTCTGTCCTCGAAGCTGATCTCGTCGAGAGGGTGAAGAGCTTCGCGAAGCGTTATCCTAACAGCAGGACAGCCCAGGCTTGCAAGGCTGTGGAGGGATGCACCCCCGACGCTATCGCAGAAGCCATCCGCTCGACATGTCAGCAGGCACGACGTAAGCTTCTACAAGAAGCAATGACTGGATGGAGTGACGCATCCAGAGAGTGGTTTATGCAGCAGATTGAAGAAGCCAAGAAGGAGAAGGTCGAGACATACACCGCCTCAGCAGGCAACGAGGTGACTTCCTTCATCTCCATGACTCTCCTGGGCATCTCCTCGGTGTATGTCAACCATGAAGAGAAGCTGAAGAAGAAATTCGAAGAGATCGGACTGGTCGTAGACTCAGTGCAAGAGAGTAAAGCAATCATGTGGAAGGCTCCGTATAGACCCGAGATAGCGAGTGCTGGAGAGATCCCGGTGACTGTTTCCTTCCTCCGCAATGCACAAGCGGAGAAGCTCTGGCAGGGAAGAGAGGACTTCGCGATCGATGGTCGCAAGTTCACAGCTGTACATGTGAGCATCGTGCACGATCGATCTTTCAAGATTCGAGCCAAGAGAGGACCCTGGGGCAAAGGGGGCAGCTTGGCAGAGCTGACCCACCTGCTAACCTTGGGCGGCATGACAACGGCTGAGATAGCTGCCGTCTATCGCTATCAGCTGCTGCGCCAGTCCCTTGCAGCGGTCCAACTCCAGCCGCTGGCAGGCATGCTGGTCGCTGGGGCGCCAGGACAGCAAGTCCACAAAGGCTTAGGTCAGAAAGGCTTCGTCGCTGTAGGGGCCAACGTCATCTGGAGACAGAGGGAGGTGGAGTGGATCGTCTCCTCGAGCTACCCAGAGGCGAATGATACAGCATTTCGAGCTTTCCGAGAGAGCGAAGCGATGGAGGGAGTACACCTGACTCTGTTCAGCGAGGACCCGAAGATCAGAGAGGCGCTCGCAGTCGAGTTGACAGCTGATCGCTTTGTGTCCAGAAATAAGTTGAAGAAGGCATCAAGGATGCAGAAGAAGGCAGGCGGCAAGGACGGCAAGGAGATCAAGATCATCATCAAGTCGACGGCGGCATCTGGTCGCTTCACGAGGAAGGAGATGGAGGGGCTGTGCAACGGCGGCAACACGTCCATCGCAAGAGTCAAGAGAGTCTTGTTGGAGATCGCTAACAGGCTCGAGATCAAAGTTGAAGGCATCGACATGGAGGAGGATTTGAACACCAAGTCCTGGAACGGGTCCAAGCTATGCATCCTCCTCGGCTCCACGGAGGATGCTCGACGCATGATGAAGGAGCAGCCCTTCTATCTCGAAGGCGCAGCAACCAAGCTCGAAGCAGTCGGCTTCGACAAGGAGCCTGAGGCGGCTGGTCAGCGGGGCACCAGCGACGCAGCGCAGCGACAGGAGGAGAGCGAGGGAGAGTGGCTGGAGTTTACAGACCTGGAGAGGATCACAATGGAGGCAGCATCTCCGTCAAGCCAAGAGGACATGCAGCTTGTCAGCGAGCTGTCAGCAGTCATCGAAGATGCAGCTTCTTTGAACGAGGCGGGGACGAGCGAGCCAATCAAGCTGGTCCTGGACAAGGCCGTTGGCAACCTCCACGACACCTTCTACTCTCCGGGGAGCCTGGAGTTCATGTCGCTGGGAGAGTGGGCGAAGACGCCAGAGGAGCAGGGAGTGGGACGCAACGTTCTCAAGGAGAAGCTGGGGGAGTGGCTGCAGAGCAAGCGCTGGACTCGCGTGCAAGGAGAGAGCAAGAAGGCAAGGAGGGGCAGCGCGTTCTCGCCACGGGCAACGGCAGCTGCTGAGCTTGAGCAGGAGGCGGAGAGCGACGACATAGAGCGTCGATCTCTTAGCTTCCTGTTCATAGCACTGAGTAAATTCGCAGAGATGCATGTGCTGGCCTGCTCGCTGAAGGTGGACAAGAAGGACCGACTGCGGGTGGAGATGAGGGAAGATGACGAAGAAGAGGAAGACATGGAGGAAGAGCAAGGCGAGGGCGAGGAAGAAGACGGGGCGAGCCCGTACCGAGCTTGAGCTGAGCTCAAGGTAAGGAGAGAAGGTAGGAGGCGACCGAAGGCCAAGGTGAGGAGAGGCAACTCTCCTGACTGAGGCTGAGGAAGCTGAATGGAGGAGGAGTAGGTGGCGACCGAAGGCCAAGGTGAGGAAAGGCAACCCTCCTGACTGAGGCTGAGGAAGCTGAATGGAGGACGAGTAGGTGGCGACCGAAGGCCAAGGTGAGGAGAGGCAACTCTTCTGACTGAGGCTGAGGAAGCTGAATGGAGGTAGAGTAGGTGGTGACCGAAGGCCAAGGTGAGGAGAGGCAACTCTCCTGACTGAGGCTGAGGAAGCCAAGAGAAGACAGCAGAAGTAGAGAGTAGAAAGACGCCTCAGAAGCAGGGTTCGCATTATAGGCCGTGTACTCCCAATGCTCGCGCGCCTCTTTAGGGTTTAGGGTTTAGGGTTTAGGGTTTAGGGTTTAGGGTTTAGGGTTTAGGGTTTTAGACTAACTTGCCAACTTCCTCTCGGCATGCTGGTGGCAGCGCCCGCAGCACTTCGTTCGAAATGAGGTCAAGTCCTGCAGCCTTTCGTCTCGGCGCCGAGGCGAGCCAGACATCAATCTCTCCCGGTGCCAGGGGTCTGGTGATTTCCTGTTGTTGTCTCCTTGAAAGCTGCACCCCCTCAGGCGGTGTGATCCGTCTTGGGGCCACGGTTGTGAACGACTTACATTTTGTGCAGTACGGGGTAATCCCTCCCCCTCCGATGGTTGGTAAGTTAGTCAATGCAGCCCTAGAAGGCAAAGCTGAGGTTCTCAACAAGACAGCGAGAGTACGCCTCCTGCCAAAAAATCAATTCTGTCACATTCTCGAAAACATGCGGCCAATATGCGTCATGTCAACGCTTACTCGACTAGTTCAGGCAATCCTGGCGCATCGTCTGAGTAAGACAGTAGAAGCAAATAACGTCCTCACAAACTTCCAGGAGGGGTTCCGTCCAGGCAGAAGCACAAGTCGGCAGGCTCATCGACTGATCTCGATCGTAGAAGAAGCAGAAGAGGCCAAAACGTCCCTCATTCTCTTGTACCTGGACTTTGCGAACTTCTTTAACAATGTGGCGATCGAGGTGGTCGAGCAGGCAATGAACAGCCTAGGCTTCCATCCTGAAGACATTAGAACTGTGATAGCCTGCAACAGTGGAGTCGAACTGCAAATACAAACAAACGAGTTCAACACAGGGAAAATACCTCTAATGATCGGGCTGCCACAAGGTGGAGCAAGTAGCCCACAACTGGCCAACTTGGTGCTATGCATCCTCTCTAGGCAATTGGACAAGTGCAGCACAGGAACAACAAACAACCTGTCCTTCGCCGATGACATGGTACTCATCGCACACACGATGAAAGAAATGCGAGAGTTGGTAGCAGTGGTGGATTCCTTCTGCAAATGGTCAGGACTGCAAATCAACAATAAGAAATCAGAGATAACCAGCTTCGACTATGCTCGCAAGGGAGAGGTTCCTGGTGCGAACAAAATAACGGTCATGGGGGAACCTGTCGAAGCCCTACCGGCTACTAAACCGTTCAAATATCTCGGCTATCGCATCTCTCTGTGGAAGGAAGAAAGACGAAGAATAAAGGGCTGCCCTTTCACTTGGGGAGAACGAGCATACGTCTTTGAAAAAACCAAAGAACTGATCAACAATATCAGCTCGTCGAGTTATACTCCTGCGCAAAAATTTTACCTGGTGAAAGTTGGAATTCTCAACGTCTTTCGCTACTCCGCAGTCATGACTGGATGGACTTGGCGAGACCTACAAGAATTAGATCAACTGTGGATACGAGCTTTTAAAAAAGCGTTAGGCCTAAGCAAAAGTACAGGGAATGGTATATTCTACCTGCCAACAGAGAATGGAGGGCTGCAGGTCCCTCATCCTGCCCCAATCCTAGGGAGAGCAGCGTTACGATACATCGAACGAGAAGTGAATAGTAAGCATGGTGGAGACATCCAAGATAGACTGATATCTAAACTCAGAAACTCGTGCGTAAAATGGGGGTGTCAAACAATGCTCGAGCTCCAAAGAGAAATGAATTTTCGAACTATGGAGCGGGATGTGGTGCGGGGACCCGAAGCTTTAGCAGTCTGGCTGACGGAAAAACTAAACACGAGGATCAGCTGGGCCCATATAGAAGCAGGTCACCTACCTGGAAGCATCTCCCTCCTTCATAGGATGGAGGATATGGTGGCAAACTTGAACGACTGTAACAGACCACAAGGCTGGACGACCTTCCAAGCCTTATGGAGGCAACTCCCGAAACTCCAATTCTCCTTGCTACGCAATGTACGACCTATCGCGGACGAAGAACTGCATTTGCCAAGGAAGCTCTGGCCTTTCCCAAGGCAACGCGAGGAGGCGGAGGGGATCGTAATGCAATTGCTACAAGAAAATGTCATCTGGGTAAGCAGCGTCAACAGAGCATCGGGAACAAAGAGGAAAAGACGAGAGGTTGTCACACAGGATAGTGCTACAACCCGAAAACGAAAGTCACACCCGCAATCAGAGGAGGACCGGGAGGAGACATCCAAAAAGCATCGGGAAGCAGCAGAAGAGAGAAGGCCACACCCAGCTCATGCAAACACAAGATCCCTCATGGCTAAATTACTAGGCAATCTGGATCAACAGGAACACCTTATCCTAAAAGGTAAGGAAAGTTTCAAAATCAAGGGCGACATAGCAATCATGGACCGGCCCAGAAGTCACACGGGC